AGAGAGAGAGGGAGACAATAGTATGGATAGGTGAGGTGAAGTTAGTGGAGGTGTGGTAGTGTAGTGGGATCTGGTGAAACTAGACTAGGTGAGAGAGAGAGAGAGAGAGGGAGACAATAGTATGGATAGGTGAGGTGAAGTTAGTGGAGGTGTGATAGTGTAGTGGGATCTGGTGAAACTAGATTAGATGAGAGAGAGAGAGAGAGGGAGACAATAGTATGGATAGGTGAGGTGAAGTTAGTGGAGGTGTGGTAGTGTAGTGGGATCTGGTGAAACTAGTTTAGGTAAGAGAGAGGTGTGAGTGTATAGTATGGATTGGTTAGGTGAAGTTAATCGAGGTGTGGTAGTGTAGTGGGATCTGGTGAAACTAGGTAAGAGAGAGGTGTGAGTGTATAATAGATTAGGTGAAAACAGTCTACGTGAGATAGATAAGCTGGATCAGATGAAGCTACCTATAGTAGTAGTTCGTATCCGTAAGATGTAATTGTGGGATCGTTGAGTCATTTTGTCAATTTTACATGTATTGATGTTTATACATATGTGTGTATATATGTATATTTGCTTCTTTCTCTATTTATTTATTAGCTTGTTCGCCCTCTTGGTATAGTTCTTCGTTTAGTCAAGACATCGTTCCCTTAATATGGTTTGTTTGCCTAGCTATATTTAGCTGACTCAATTCATTCGTTTAGTTTACTGTGGTTCCTTCGTATAGTCAACTCTTCGTTTTCATAAGATGGTCTAATTGCCTAGTGCTAGACCAGTCATTCGTTTGGCTTACTGTGGTTCCTTCGTATAGTCAACTCTTCGTTTTCATAACATGGTTTGCCTCGTGCTATACCAGTCATTCGTTTGGCTTGCTATGGCTCCTTCGTTTGGTCAGGGCTCGGTGATTATGTTTCATTCATTTGGATAAATCATCCGTTTATCGCTTTCTAAGGTTTGCTCTTGCTAGGTTCCTTACTTCGCTTAGTTCATTTGGTTCGAGATTCCTTAGCTTGTAGTCGAGCCCATTGCACCAGCTTGCTCAGTTCAGGACCAATTCGTTTGTTCAGTTCAATTGCTTCTTACTTCACCTGTTTGTTACGATCTTTTGTTTCATTACTTCGCCAGCTTGCTAAGCTAGGCTCATCTGTTTCGCCATTTGGCCTGTTTGTATAGCTGGACTCATCTGCATAATTTCTTCGCCTGTTGCTTAGCTCTAAATTCAACTTATTAGCCCGTTGTTCAGTCTATTTGAGCAAGATCAGATTATAAGATCGCTTTGCCATTCTGACAACTGAAATCTGGTTCCATTACTTAACTATTAGCTGATTGACTACCTTCGTATACCTCCTCGCTACAAGTATGTACACATTCTAGCTTTGTTCGGTCTATTAGGAGGCTTTTTCCATTCTGACAGCAGAAATCTGGCTCCATTACTTAACTGTTAGCTGATTGACTACAAGGCGGTTATCATTCTAGCTCTGTTCATTCTACTTGAGGTTATATCGATGTGACACCTGTTTCTATATTCGAAAGAGATATTTACCAGAGGTCAGCTACACTCCAGTACTAGAATGTAACGTTCTATTTGACTACTAGAGCTAGTTCAGTAGACCGAACTGCACTTATATGTGCAGCTGCCTGTCTACGTGATGTATTAGGCTACCGGCTTGATGCCTTTTTGTATCCCCCCTATGTTCACATATCCCTATTGGAAAAACTTGGACATGGCCTTCTTTTGCTTCTCCTTACGCTGCTTAATGCTGGTCTTTACATCCTGCAAACCCTTCACAATGGCACCATCTCCTGGAGAGAGCTTGAGGGCTTCCTCCAAACTCTCCTGTGCTCCATCCTCGTCCTTGCTGAGTAATTGTCCCATACCCTTGCGGTACAAGGCCTTGGACTTGGATTTGTCGTCGATGTTGGTGACTTCTAACGCAGCAGAGGCAGCGGCAATGGTCTTCTTGCCGTCCTTCAACTTCAAGGCAGCCAACGCGGCATTCAAGTTACATGACAACTGCAATTGGTATAAGGTCTTCAAGTCATCTTCTGGCAAGTCTTCTGGGAAATACTCCCCAAGGAAGTTGGTGGCCTTGTGGTACTTTGCGTATGCCCTAGTAACATCGCCCTCCTTCAACAATTTGGTACCTATTTCCTTCAAATGTGTCACAGCCTTGAACACAGATTCGCTCTTGTTCACATCTATTTGGTCATCGTCGGCCATGATCTCTTCGTATACATCACCGGTACCATCGTCAGCCTTGGTGGCTGCAACTGGAACATACGAAGGATCCAATTCTCCACAGTCTGCAATGACTACCTCCTTCACGGGCTTGTCGTCGGAGCCCTTCTCGCCTCTCTCGATCTGGCGCACGATGGACTTACCCTCGATAACCTTACCGAAAACAACATGCTTTCCGTTCAAGTGTGGTGTTGGAACGGTGGTGATGAAGAACTGAGATCCGTTCGTACCTGGACCAGCATTGGCCATGGATAACAAGAACGGAACGTCGTGGGTCAACTTGAAGTTCTCGTCTTCAAACTTCTCACCATAGATGGATTCACCCCCAATTCCCGATCCGTGTGTGAAGTCCCCTCCTTGGCACATGAAGTCCTTAATGACTCTGTGGAAAGTGGAGCCCTTGTACGTGAGCGCCTTGCCTGATACTGGCGATACGCCTTTCTCTCCAGTACAAAGCGCTCTGAAGTTCTCTGCGGTCTTGGGAACGACGTCTTCGAAGAGCTCGAACACAATTCTGCCCTTCTCTTCACCGCCTACGGTGATATCGAAATATACCTTTGGATTCATTCTGCTTAGATGTTACTGTGTATTAAATAAAACTACTACCTACAGTCTGCTGGTACTGACTTTATAACGTTGGACGGGTGGATTTTTCACTTGTGACTTTGGCACATGGAAAATTCTCGAACCGCTTCCGCTCCCGCTCCTGCACCCGCGCGACAGCCGCCCCAGTAGCCGCTTCCACTACCAGTAGGGCAACCACTGCTGATAGCACAACTATCACGCTTGTTAGGCAGAATGTGGCATCGTAGCAGTGCTCAGATAGGACCAGTTGGTCGAGATGGCCGGGCCTTGAGTTGTTCAGCTCCTCCTTTTGTTTCTTTTTTTTTGCTTTTTGTTACTTTACTTATTTATTAGGATTTCTTAGATTAATAATAATTTACATTGCTGTTCTACTTCGTGGTTTCATCTCTTGGCTCCTGCTCTCCCTCCTGCTTGTGCCTCTGCTTCTGCTTCTCTTATAGGCTTGAAATAATCGTGATCCATGGCTTCTCTTGCGGTCAATCTCTCTTGGTGGTCGTACCTCAATATGTTGTCCAAGAAGTCTAAAAACTCGTCGCTAACCAAATGCTGGTTGTTGTCGTTTATGAATCTTTTCCAGGGCCTCCTGTTGTAGTAGCCAAGGTCCTCGTACTCCTCACTCAAAGTCAACTCGTACTTGTTTAAGTACTTGTGTAAATCGTCTGACCCTAACACGCGAACAATCTGCACCAACTGGTCAGTGTTGGACTTCCCGTGGAAAAATGGCTCCTTCTTGAACACCAACGAGGCAAACATGCACCCAAAGGACCATAGGTCCAACGAGTAGTCATATAACCTGAAGTCTACGAGCAATTCTGGGCCCTTAAAGTACCTGGACGCGACTCTGACGTTGTATTCGGTTCCAGGGTGGTAGTACTCAGCCAACCCCCAGTCGATCAACCTCAACAGCTTGTTGTCATGGTCAATCATCACGTTGTGTGGCTTCACATCCCTGTGCATGATCCCCATAGAGTGTGAGTAATCCAATGCCTTCAACAACTGGTACATGTAGAACCTGATGTCGTAGTCTGTGAAGTGTGGGTACAATGATCTGAAGTCTACATTGTTTACATGTTCAAAGATCAATCCTGGGGTCTTCAGCTGAGGCTCCCTGACAATGTCCAATAAACCAATAATGTTGGGCCCGCCGACTAAGTTCTTCAAAATGGAGATTTCTCTTTTTATCTTCTTACGTTTGACCGGCTTCAACACCTTGATCACACATTTGTTACCATTGTTGCTCAAGTCGACTCCTAAAAACACCTCGGAGTACTTCCCTCTGCCCAATTTCTTTATGATTTCGTAGTTGTCTTGCAGGTTCCACTTGATATTCATGTTTTCGTAGTCCCAGTACGATTGGGGCTTGGAGGCAAGTACGTCTACATACACTTTAGACACTGAGCTAACAGTGTGGTGTGACATCTTGCTGTAGTTCTCGGATTGGAAAAGCGTTCGGAGCTTGCTGGAAGTAGGACTGTTGCTGTTTACAAGTATATAGAATATGAAACAGGCTGCTAAAGACGTGGATATTAGCAATCGCAAGCGGATATGGAAGAAGGGTGAATGAATCACTGTAGCTAATTGGATGAAATGCCTGTAAATCTAGTAGTATAAGCCAAGATACAAGATAAGTACAATAAATAGATAACCTAGTCCACTGAACCTTGCGAATAGATGTCAATACAGTTCCCTTGCTTCTCTCCTTCTGTCCTCCCTTGTTACGGCTTCCTTCTTCCAGTTTAGCCTTCAACAAAAAAAAAAGAGAAAAAAAAAAAAAGAGATCAACCTTGGCACGTGACCTGCTAACTCTCTAGGGGGATATATCTTTCAGGCAGCTCTAGTTGGAAAGTATTGGATATCTGGACTAGAAATGTTGCTAAATTCAGACCTGTACGTAAGATTGGACGATTGCCTACCACAACTACCACATGTACCACAACTAGAGAAGAAAAGCACTCCTGGTTTCAGGTGGTTCCTTCTGGTTGTTGTGGCAAGGAGATTGCGCATAGAGGAATTACACAAAGTCGTTTCGGGAAATGTCCTAAAAGAGAAGCGATAAAGAAGTTGCAATGGCTGCAAATGGGGGGTGTGTTTGCTTGGTAAGTGGAGTATTCTTTGCGTGGTAAGTCGAGTTGGGGTGGGGTTTTTGTTCCAGAACGTTGTTTTGTTGTTGGAAGCTCAGAAATGGACGTAATTGGGGTGCTCGTCGACGTATTCTGTCATTTGGTCGTGTTACATCTTGATGGTCTTATCGTGCAACTATGGACAAGGAGAACTGCCTTTGGTTTATCTTTCTACATTCTACACTTTTCTACCTCCTTCTTTACAGTGTCCTTGTGTATTTCAAATTAGAGATATTACCAACTATAGTAAAAAAAAAATCCCAATGTATCCCAAGTAAGTTATCATGATGGGCATCTGATACTTCATTCGAAAACCCAGAATATATATATGTGTGTGTGTGTGTACTTGGCTGGGTATCCCGATTTTAGTATCAGGTGGTCCTCTTCATGACATGTGTTGGAAAATTCTAGTCAATCCATATTGGAGGAAATGAACAGACTACATTTCCCATTGTGGTGTTTCAGAGTGAATCATTTCTTAGCACTGACTGAAACGGTTTCAAGCTCAACCTCTGCCGGCTCCTCTTCAGAGATACCAATACCTTGAGTCTTCAACTTTTCGAATAACTTCTCTTGTTCAGATTTAGTTAATTCACTCTTCTTCTTATTCTTAATGTGGTACATTGGGTTCAACGTTCTCAAGGTCAACTGCTTAGTGAATGGCAAGTGGCCGTGCTTTTCTTCGAAAAGCATAAGGAGCAAGACAATAATGAGAGCGATCCAATAGATCACATAGGCTAAAACAGAGCCATACGTTGCCGAATTTTGCCATCCCAATAAAGCATTGAAGACATCCCACCCATTATCTTTATTTGGATTACAACAGTTGACATGCCATACAGACTGATGGATATTGTAAGTACCTGGGCCAGATCCATTTTCAGAAGCATCACCACCAGTCTTCTTGGAAAATACGTACGTCTGAAAGTACCAAACAGAACGAGAGAATAAACCAGCTGCAATCAAATACAAGATACAAGTGGAGAAGATTAAGAATATTTGCAATGATTGAGTGGTACCACCTATGTATAGCAAGTATCCAATTAAAGCACCTGCAAGTAATCCGGTGATAACCGGAATTGGGAAAGCAGTAGCAGGAGAACTCAATCCAACACCACCAACAAAGACAACTGCTTCCAAACCTTCTCTCAAAACAGTGATAAATGGCAAAATAAACATACAGTATTTCTTGGTTAGGTATCCAATTTTGTATCTATCCTTCTTATTCTTTGGTGGAGTTAAAAGAGCTGTGGCCAACTTCACTCTCCATTTTTCTTGCATTTTGTTTACACGCAACATGGCAACACCCATCATAGAGATCAAAATTGTTGCAATAGCACAGAAAATACCTTCCCAAAGATCTTCGGATTTCGACCAAATGTCCTTACCAAGAGAGTAAAATGTTCCAATAAAGGCGCCACCGATAATGAAACAGATAATCAAACCTGCAAGCGAACCCCACCATACTTGTCTCTTCAACCGCTTGTATACAACTGGGTCATTCTCTGAACCACCTAAGCCCTTCTTCAAGAACGCAAGTAAAACCGAAACCACAATAACCGCTTCTAGACCCTCTCTGAAGACAATGAAGAAAACTGTTGGGTTGAAAACGTTAACCATTGCAGCCTATCTTACCTTGTAGGCTGTAATGAGTTTATGGAATTGGAAAAAAGAATACATTCAAATAGCCCAAAAAGTAAAGTCAATTCATTGCAGTATATATAGAGAAAGTGTTGGACCAAAATTTTCTTTGCCAAGACAAATAGTTTATCAGATTTTTCAGATAATTGTTACAATACCTAAACTTCATTGTTGTAGTGCAGAAATGTAAAGTACTTCACCTTTTCCAGCGATATTGATGTATGAGCGGCTAATTTCTCAAAATGCCTAATGAAATTTAACTGAAATCCATCCCTTCTTTATTTCTGGGCTCTAAAATATCCCCTCTTCCATGTTTAGACATCCCATCAGGGTCCCATTAATTTTATGAGCCAGAAAGAAGGTATTCTCCATAATTTGCAATCTCATTGAAAAGTGCTGCTTTTTTAAAATTAACCGTGCATGAATTCTGCACAGTAGGCACGTCAGTGACAGGTCCTGTCAAATTATTCGAGTTAAACAAAGCTCGATATTGAACTACTGAGCTAGCTCAGGCTTGTTCTCGTAAATGGAACATCCGGTATTGTAATTGCCGCATGCGATAAATAAGAGTGTTACGAGGTTAGCAGGTTGGCTCTAATCTTTAATTCTATCTTAGTCAAACAGTTAGTGCTTGCAAAGTTTCACAAAGACGAAAAAGGAAATAAACGCAACTTTAGTGTAACTGCTTCACATTCTGACACCTATTTACTTCTTCGTTCAACTAGTGTTCCAAATATTAGAGTGAATTATGTCTAGCGATTTTATTAATGAGATAGTAATTGGAAGTGGTTAGAGTTTTCATGCTAACAGGAAAGAAATACAATTCTTTATATCTATTAATGTACTATTCAACTCTTCTTATAAATTAATCCTCTGAATATGTCAAACGAGTTCCCGTCTGGTTGCAATTCCAAGATTTCCCCACTCTTCACATCTTCAACAACCAATAACCCGTACTCAGGAGTTATACCTTTTATTAAGCATTTCCGGCGGGAACCATCACCATTTGCATCAACATCAACTATCTGGTTAGAATGGAGCCATCTCTTATAATACAATGGTAAGAATGGCTTCAAACCTGCCTTTTCAAAAACGGAATAGAACTCTTCAACTGTGTGTAGCATCTTAGCTAATAGGAGTTCATGTTGGTATGGTGGTAAGGGAGAAAGGCCCTTCTTCAGTCTAAGCTCGTTTAACTTGTCTAAGACTATATTCAAGGAAGTTGTAGGAGCAGAATTTGAAACATTTATACCCACACCCCAGACCAAATAGAAGCAATTTTCCATGTATTGGGAATTAATCAAAGCACCTGAGATTTTAGCATATTTTTCTTCATCTTCATCTAGAGTAGTACTGCTAGACGTAATGGTGTTTGAAGACGACGTTTCTGTGAAGTATTGAGGCTTCATGGAATAAATATCGTTGGGCCATTTGAGTTTAATGGGCATTTCCTCATATCCCACTCCCTTGCCAGGTTCATCACTACCGTAACCTAATATCAGCTCAACTATTGCTAATCCACATAAGTATTGTAAAGTCACTATTGATGTCTTATTTGGGGATGACACAGGCACTTTGAAAAGCACAGAGGTAGCCATAACACCCTTAGGGTTAATCCACACATTACCTCCTCTTCCTCTTCCAGAAACTTGTGTAGTAGCAGTTACAGCAAATCCATGAGGCAAATGCCTTAACCACCCTGGGTTTTTATCCATGATGGTGTTGGTAGAGGTGATTACTTCACAGTAACCAAACGTGGATCCTATACCACCAATTTTTGAGTTGGAAAGCTTCTTGTATTCCTCTCTGTAAGTTGCCATATTGAAATATGGAGTTATTTTGTGAGATGGTAATTCATTGGAAATCTTGATATGCTTTGGTTGTGATTCTAAGTCATGTAAGTTCGTAATTTCCTCACTACTTTTAATGAAGTAGTCATTGTCGTTTTCTTCTTCTGTATGGAAAATAAAGGTGTCATTGGCATCCTCGTGTCTATGGTTGGTGCCTTCGATGTGCAAGCTTTGTCTTAACTGGCACAAAACGTCGGGTTTTAAACTGGAAAGATAAATTGGGGTCAAGTGAGGAACTGACATATTCACGTCCTGATTAACTTTCAATCCTAATTTGCCAAGGCAATCTCTTAAAAAGATTTTCCTCTTTTCTTCATTGTCTGGTTGACTAAGAGTTTCGAATGTTTTAATATAGTCAGATTCATCGCTTGCGGGCTTCATTAAAGCGGGGGTGTACTCTGGGTGTGATCCTGTCAAGAGGGCTGCACCTTTGCCCACCTTACAAAGCACAACTGCTGCAGTCAACTCATCATCGCTTGCATTATGTGTGACTTCAACAGGTTCCGTATACGTTGCTAAAACTTCCGTATTTGGGTATTTTGAAGCATTTACAAATACACCACCACCATTATAGTAATTATACACTAAACCGTTATCAGTTTGCAAGGGTGTACTTCTAACACCTTTGTGAGTCTCATATAAGAAACCCTTATAGGCACAACCTCTGTCGATTCCTGGGAAAAAGGACAACTCTCTTGGCCCAGTGACCTCCATGTTGGTGCCAACTTCAAATTCACACCTTTCACTAGCATAATACCCACCAGCACAGAACCCAATATATTTACCACCCTTTTTTACAAATTGAGAGATCTTTTTGTTTCCCTCACCATTCAATACTTTACACATGGGTAAGTCAGCACCACCTGGCATAACAAAAACTGCAGTCTTATGCATCCAAGGGTCGTTCAAAATGGCAGTTTCTGATACTGCGACTACTGCATAAGATGGGGAAAGATGGAGTCTAAGTGATTCTAAGCAGTGTTTGACAGATTCAGAAGTAGTACCTGGTCCCGAATAAACAAGGACGTTCATTTTCGTTGATAGGAAGCGAATTAGGGGCACTTTTGTAGCTAAGGGGCAAAAGAAACTACTATAAAAAGCAGAAAGTGGAATAACTATAACTTTTCAATTATGTTGGGGGAATTTTTCAAAAGAAATAAATTTTGAGTCTTCGATTAAAAGGCGTTGCATGAAAAATAGAGTCATTGAGTCGTGCGGGTATGATTCAAGATGATTCAAAGTCAAATGTGGTAACACTAGTGTGTTATTTTGAAATTGGTAGCAATAAAAAGGGTCCTTGAAGAAAAACTGTGCTTTTCTTTCAAAGTGGCCTATACCTACAGATTTAAATGTATTTAGTTCAGGAAGAATCACAATTTAGAGAACGAAAAGGTGTTCCAATTGTTGGCAAATATATTAAGACGTTTGAGAATTTGGACATGTTTACTTCTTTTACTTTCACCTTTAAATAAGGTTTCATTGTTACCAATGATGTTCTACAGAGAAAGCAATATTGACCCTTATGCTGACTACATGTGGACTTAGGCTCCATAATTTGCAAGCATGGTTGGAGTTCGGTGTACTTGATGTGTGCGCTATCTGCAGGATACTGTAGGTGGGTCTTCTTGAAATATTTTGATTTCTTTCCTCTAGGTTCCTGTGCTGTACTGTCGATCATATCTCCATCGGCATGATAGTTGAACTGGCAGATATAGTCACGTTGAACCCAAAGGAAGGGTTTGTGGTCAAAACCAAAATAATAGATGCCACCGACTATAATAAATATAATATTTCTACCAAAGTATTCATCAACTTGTGTCACGATCCTCTAGTACCGAAACCTCCTCAAGATTTTGACCCCACAGTAGTATTTCCTCTTATTATTAATAACCAATGGGAAATACCGATAATTACATCCCGGGAGAAAGAAAGCAAGGACAAAAAGGGGCAACCTTCTTTAGTTTACGATTGCTGCATCAATTCTACCTGCTTTAGGTGGTGCCAAATCAATGCCGATTTAAGATCAATTCTCATTGAATGGTGCATTGAAGCTGTAGAAATTATGTATAGTGTAGTATTAGAAAGAGAATACAGTATTCCGAAAATGCTATCCAAGGGTGAGTTAACAAAGACAGAGATCTTGAAAAGTGAATTGGAGGGAAGCATACAAAAGAAGATGGACCACATTGCAGATGAAACGATGGGCTTGCTAGAAGAGATGAGAGAGAACGAAGAAAATGATGTAGATTTGAATGAAGAATTGCCAGACATAATGAATGTGGGCGGCGGAAAAAAGAAGAGTTTAATACAAGAGATAGATGACACAGTCATATCGGATGTAAAGAAGAAGTCAAAAGTGAGTAATAAGTCAGAAAAGAAGCTCGATATAGAAGTTTCCCAAGGTGCTGGAACTGATGGTGCTGATGATGCAGACGATAGCTTTGGGCTTAAAGCCCTCAAAACTACCAAGCTAACTAAGCAGCCTAGAGCCAAAATTGAGGAAACTTCAACTTTAACTCCCAAAGAAAAAAACCTGCTTATATCTGAATTGGTGAGTCTCGAGCATACACTTACGAAGCAAGCCACTAAAGAAGGTGAGTGCTTCAAGATCCATCTTCCCACTCTTATACATGGCCATGAAGTTAATGTGAGATATTCCTTTGTGCAGGAGAAAATTGTAATCTCTCACGATGATAAGGTTGCATTAGAAATTGATTGTAGGATCGATGCAGGGACCTTGAAAGTTTTTTGGGTCGGCAAAGAAAAGAATTTGTATATATTTGGCAAAAGTCTTTAGGCTATAGCATTAATATAGAAGTATAATAAACGACAGCCAGGCGAAGCGACGAGGTGTATCAGGTACCAAGTGTTTTTTCTTATAGCGCTATGACTAATTTGGAAATTCCGCTTCGAAAAGCTCTTTGCGTAGCGGAATATTTGTTTTTGAAGGGTTTCTAGAATGACTATTCCGCTCGAGAGCTGCGATATAAGAACCAACTCCAGGAAAGCTTATCGACAGTGGATATATGAAAAGTACACTTCTTCTAAAGTACTTAGTAGTAAGATTTTTATTTATTTGTAGCACTAATTTTACCATAGGACTATGAACGCCGAGCAGCCACTTTTAACTGGTTCGCTAGATCACGTTGTCTATGACACTATTGAAGAATCTGAGATCATAAGCCATCGCTCCTATAGATCAGAAGCTTTAGTCATCATAAAATCGGTGGGACCCTTGTCGGTAAGCTTTTTCCTTCAGCTGATACTTTCGATTACAACAATATTTGCAGCGGGAAAATTGGGTCCTCAAGAGCTTGCAGCAGCGACGTTGGCGGTATGTACCTTCAACATCAGTGCCAATGCTGTGTACCAAGGTATGTCCACGTCGTTGGACTATTTCTGTTCTCAAGCTTATGGGGCAGGAAAGCTGTTGAATGTAGGTATGTATTTTCAACGTTGCTCTGCAATGATGATGGTAATCACCATTTTCCCACTTGGGTTTATCTGGTGGTTTTCTGGGTCCATTTTGAAGTTGATGATTCCAGATAAGGAGTTGGCAATGATGGCCCAAACTTATTTAAGAGTAATCTCATTCGGGGCTCCTGGATTGTTGTTATTTGAGACGGGTAAAAGATATTTACAAGCACAGCATATATTTAATGCCAGTACATATGTCTTGTTTATTGTAACACCATTGAACTTTGTGTTCAACTGGTTACTTGTTTGGCACCCAGTCTATGGATTAGGTTTCATTGGAGCTCCTATAGCTGTGTCGATCACGTATTGGTTGACGAGTATACTCATGCTATTATACGTTGTCTTTGTAGACGGGAAACAATGCTGGAACGGAATCAGTATCTCTAAATCATTTTCCAATTGGAAGCCTATGCTTGCGTTGGCCCTTCCAGGTGTGGTGATGGTAGAAGCAGAATACTTGGCCTTTGAGCTTTTAACGATATTTGCTGCAAGATTTGGTACCAATTCATTGGCTGCACAGTCTATTGCTTCAAGCATGGGGTCATTATTCTTCCAAATTCCTTTTGCTGCTGCAGTGGTTATTACCACTAGACTTGGTCACTTTGTGGGTATGGAAGACATTCAGGGTGCTAAAATAGTTACCAGGATATCTTATGTGGTAGCATTAGGGTTGGCATTTTTTAACTTTGGTATTGCATTCTTCTTTAGAAGACAATTAGGGGAATTATTGACGAAATCAGAAGAAGTCTTGAAGTACAGTGACCATATCTTAATATTTTTGGCCATCAACCAAATCCCAGATACAACCAATGTCTTGTGTGCTGGTGTGCTCAGGGGCCAAGGTAGACAACGAGTGGGATCGATGTTAAATCTCTTCTCTTACTACGTAGTGGCTTTACCATTGGGATACTTCTTAGCATTCCATGCCAAATTAGAGCTATCCGGACTATGGATAGGAATTATATCCGGGGTATCGTGCTTGGCACTTGGGGAAACGTTGTGTATATATTTCAGTGATTGGAACCTGATTTTAACAGACTCCAAGAACAACCATGACCATTAGCGTGATCATTGGCCATAACCAATATATAATTAATAGATTGCATGCATATAAAAAGCCCCTATGAACCAGTTTTGGGTATTCTATGCCAGCTGCTCTGGAATGCCAGCACCATTCCATGAGAAACAGCAAGATACTTATTCTCGCCTGGCACTTGGGGAATTCGTGTCCATATTACGGCGGCTAGAAGTAGTTTTTAATGGACTCAAAGAGGAACAATAACCGGTATATATGTAAAAGACTACATACATAGTAAAAGGCTTTATGAACCGGCCTACGCTACTCTATGATCTGCAGCTTTAGACTCTACTCTACGCCAGCTTCTCTGGATTACTAGACTTCGTCTCTTTTTTGTAGCAACCAAATAGACAAGCTACATCAAATTTTACTCCTAACACCCCCGAGTACACCCCCGAATACACCCCCGAGTACACCCCCGAGCACACCCCTAAGCACAGCCATGACATATTTACCTCCACATCACCTATTCCACCTAGCGGAACTCTCCATGGCTGCAAATCAAACTATGCAACATTTTTTGTTTATATGCAGTATATCTCATCTCGATATGGATTTCAATTTTTTTATTTTTGTAATTTTTTTTTACCGTACCAGTTCCTTCGATAGAAACAGTCTTTACATATAGTTTTTTGGTATAATGGGTAGAAGATTCAACAAGAAGAACGCCCAGACGTTCTCCATTGTTCACAGAGCTCACGACGATGCTCTCTTCTACGATAACGAAGCATCTGGTCATGTATTGGTGCCGCTTAAAGGTGGAAACCAGAAGAAGTCATCGGCTGCAGATGCAGTGATCACTCTGTCCAAGAAAAAGGTTTTCAGTACTTCAGAACTTGAGAAGCAACTTGATCAGGACGAAATCAACAAGATTCGTGGAAACGAAGGTTTAGCTGCTCAGTTTGGGATTTATTTCGATGATTCCAAGTATGACTATATGCAGCATTTAAAGCCAATTGGCGATGACCATGAAGGTGTGTTCATATCAAAGGACAGCAGCAAGCAAGAGAGAGAAAAACCCAAAAATAAGGATATTGGGGGTCTCTTTGGCGACCAGGTACCCTCTGAAAAGAAAAGAAACGTTGCCTTTGACGAAGGGCAGAACATCCCTGCTGAGTTAAAGGGATTTAACCCCGACATGGATCCCAGGTTGAGGGAAGTGTTGGAAGCCTTGGAAGACGAAGAGTACCTTGAAAGAAGGAAGGGTGAAGCTGACCGTGAAATTGAAGGATATGAAGACGATGACGATGATTTATTTGCAGATTTATTGGGGTCAGGTGAAGTGGAGAACGAAGACGATTTCTACTACGGTTCAGATGCTGACCAGTACTACGATGACGACTATGATGAAGAGTATGACGAATGGGATCTTGACAACTACAAAGACGAGTATGATGCTAAGTATAATTCAGACAACCAAGAAGAAGAGAAGCAGGTACCGGTGGAAAGAGATGTAGGACTTTTATACAATGCAGGAGAAGCTCCAGAGGAAGCTGAGGGGGATGCAGCCCCAGTATCGTTCATCAGTAGCAACTGGGAGCAGGATTTCCATAAATTTAAGGCTGAAAACAAAAAGAAAGAGAACGACTGGGACTCGGATAACGATTTCGACGATGAAGAAGAAGAGGACCAATTTGATGTAGTAGGAGATCTTCCATCCATAGCGCAATCCCTGAAGAAGGGGAAATCTAAGAACAAGCTTAGAAAGAAGAAGGGCGCAATGTCAGACACTTCGGAGTTTTCCATGTCGTCGTCAGCTCTTTTCCGCACAGATGGGTTGACGCTCTTGGATGACAGGTACGAGCAGCTTGCTAAGAAGTTTGAAGATGAAGATGAAGAGGAAGAGGAGTATCAAGAGTTTGATATGGCACTGGAAAGGCAAGACTTGGAGGGCATGTTGGACGATTTTTTGGACAACTATGAAATGGAAAAGGGAGGAAGAAAATTGGTGAAGAAGAACGAGACTAGGCACAGAATTCAAGAGGCTGCAGACTCCGTGTCGAAGGGAAAGGTTGCTGCTAAGAGAAAGAAGGAGAAGGAGATGAAAGGTTTGGGAAGTTCGTTCGGCGGTTTGACTTTATAGGCGCATTCATAGCATAGCATTAATTAAATAATATAGTATAGATATATGAAAATAGTGTAGACTATAGAGTGGAGAATGCAACCAAAGGAGCTAAAAGAGACTTCAGCTTGGTTCTCCTATCCCTAAACTGCAAGATACAAGAGTCAAAGCAAAAAAAAAGAACAATGATTTCGCCCAGGATCGAACTGGGGACGTTCTGCGTGTTAAGCAGATGCCATAACCAACTAGACCACGAAACCAATTGTTGATAGTATAAAATGTGCTTAGTTCCTATCATACCAGCACTCAAGGACAAGTACAATAAACAGATCCAGCTTCTTCTGGGTTTTTTCTGGCTGCCTTGGCTCTCTTTTCATGCTGAAGCTCTTACCTGGCTCATTTCTGGCTATCTCCCACCCTGCGTCTCTCTGCGTCTCACTAGTGATCTCTCTGCGCGGTCTGCACGATCTGCGCTCTCTGCTCTCTACGTTACCCTTTTAGGACATGTAAAGACAAAGTCATACCACTAGGAAGAGCTTGGGTGCATTCGCCAGGGGAGTAGGCCGATAATGCCAGAACTCCCATCAGCTGGAACCTCTAGTCAAACTCTAAGAAATCTGAAGTCGTAATAAGAAGCTCTCCAGTGTACGGTGTGCCAGCCTTTCAGCTACCCTGCACCGCTTCTTTTTTTGGTGCAACCTTATGCGCGTGGTGACATTTTTTTTTTTGTTTGTATAGAACTTTTTACAGAAGAGTAGAAGCTCTTTATAGGTCAGTATCGCTCTATCTTTCGTCAGTAATGAAGGTGAATATAGTAGACTGGCACGGTGTAGCGACATGGCATTGGAAATTGGCCTCAAACGATGGAAAAGCGGGCTATGTAGATGAGTTGTGTGGGATCTGTCGTGTTCCCTTTGATGGCACATGTCCCAATTGTAAGTTCCCTGGAGATGACTGTCCACTTGTCCTAGGTAGAGGCTGCATCCATAACTTCCACGTCCATTGTATTCTCAAGTGGCTAGAACAAGAGGCATCGAAGGGCTTGTGCCCCATGTGTCGTCAAGTTTTCGTGCACGATCCTGAAGATAATCCACACTCTGAAGAGTTTGAGTACTTGCAACAATTAGAAGACGGGCATCGGCTCTTGCGAGAGAAGGGAGAAACCACCTACGAAGAGTAGAACACGAAGCCTAGAACATGTGGTTATGTAGTTATGTAGTTATGCAGTTATACTCTTGTAGCTGGGAGGTATATATATATATATATATATAATTTGCAAGGATGACTTGGCTTTACAGGACTTGGCTGTTCAGCTGTCCTACCCATGGCTCACTGAACTGAGGACTTCCAAGATGAAGACTAACTCTAAGTGAACGGCGATCCAATTCCTACAAAAAATTTCTACATTTGTTACAGAAAGAAGAGCTGGTTCTTTTCTATCATACTTAATATACAATATTCCAATATAAATCACACACTGACGTACTGTTCTCTTGTAATTATACCTGTGGTCTGTTTTGGTTTTTCGTATTTTTCAATTGGACTATCAAAATTTGAGTTCGGAAATTTTTCAGTTTGGCACAGGTGGGCCAAAGACTCTTCTGGTTCAATCATACAATGCTTCTCAATTTCCCCCGCCTGGCGTTGGCAATTGGTTTAAGGTGCAAGACTAGTTCATTAGTCAGACCTACTTCCTTCTCTTTCTTCGTCAGAAATCTCCAGCAAACATCCAAAACTGAAAATGTGACTCAGTCTGCGAATCAGCTCCCCACATTCTCACCAGAAGAACTTGAAGCTGCAAGACTAGCACGTTTGGCAGGTCTTGGTTGGATTTCGAAGTTGCCTGAGAAGTGGATACCCTATGCTGAGTTGCTGAGAGTGGAAAAACCTGTAGGTACTTTACTTTTACTTATCCCTTCCTTCTGGGGGATTACGATGGCCTCGTATGCAATTGCTGCCCCATTGACTACAATGTTGTACGCATCAGGGTTGTTTACCGTAGGTGCTCTTATTATGAGAGGTGCTGGATGTACTATAAATGATATATTGGATAGAAATTTAGATAATAAAGTTGTCAGAACCGTCGAAAGACCGTTGGCAAGTGGGAGAGTCAGCGTTCCTCAAGCAGTTGGTTGGTTGGCTGCTCAATGTTTCCTTGGATTGGGTGTTTTGTTATCGTTACCATTTGAGTGCTTTTATCTTGGAGCTTTATCGTTGCCATTTGTATTCACTTATCCCCTATATAAAAGGTATACATATTACCCTCAGGCTGCCTTGTCATTTGTCTTCTCATGGGGTTGTTTATTGGGTTTTCCTGCTGTCGGTGCAGCATTGGATCTATGGGTAGCCTTACCATTATTTGTCTCGAATTTTCTCTGGTGTATGACTTATGATACCATCTATGCACATCAGGATAAGGCCTTTGACATAAAGGCAGGTATCAAGTCGACTGCATTGGCCTGGGGAGAAAAGACTAAGCCAATACTCAATGGTTTGCTGGTAGCTCAGTTGGGTCTATTCACTTTCTCTGGATTAATGAATGGAATGGGTCCAGGGTTTTATGCAACTGCTATTTGGGGATTCTCCAGGCTCTTTAAACAAATCAAAAATGTAAACTTAGACGATCCAAAGGATTGTTGGAGAGCTTTCACTGGTAACATTAGAACCGGTGAAATTCTATGGTTAGGTATGATCGTTGACTATATATTAAGATTATTAGGATACCTTTAATAAATTATATGGCTAGGTATGCTTCTTGACTGTATACTAAGGTTATTAGGATGCCTTTAATTGAATCGAGAAATAGTACTAAATAGTAAATGCATGTTATGTAATAAATATATATACATATATCTATATATGTGTGTACTTTTTAGAGTCATCAGTCGTCTAGATCTGCCGTTTGATATTGTTTCAAGATTTTCTTTCTATGCTTTTCTTGTGATCTACTTACAATTTTTTTTACAAGAACATCTCTATGTTCCGAACCCAATTCAATAAGACAATCTGCCAAATACTCCTGAATCTGTACTACTGGAATGTAAGAAGGGAGTAAGGAAAGAATTTCCAACATGGTAAAATATTCTGTCCCATAACTTTGAATGAAATGTCTAATAGCTGCGAAATTCTCACTTCCTTCAGTATAATATTGGAATACTATTTTCAAGTTAGACTTTTTAGACTCTAATGATATGTTATGTGGTGGGCGGAAATCATCCTTGAAATAGTAAGGATTCAATGGAGAGGGTAACCTACCGTTTATTGAAAAAAACTCAGCAGTGGAATAGTCTGACATTTCTAGTAACTTTTCAATCTTCGTGTCAAATGCAATATTGTAGAATGAATATACAGAAGGTTGTCCCTCAATGAGAGTCAATATATTGCTGTCTTCTTTATATGAATTGCTGCTCTCACGACGTGCTAGCAAGAGTTCGGCAATCTTCAAATAGTTTGCTGCAAATTCCTTACACTCACTTCTTTCCATATTTACTCTCAAGTAGTCTATCCAGCTGATCTTTGGCCATTCAGGGTCATCCAATCGATTTTCTAGTTTGTAAGTCTCTTGTAAGACCTGGAAATTATTAATATTGGTATCATTCGCTAAAGCTTCCCCTCTACGGCAAAGCTCTGACAATAAATCATCAAAAGTTGATTGATCATATCCAGTTTGAAGATGAGTGTCTTGAATTGTAGATTCTAAGTATTCAATTTTTAGTTTTGAAATTTCCGGGGATGAATTGGAGTTTATTTCACTCATAATATGCTTGTGGATAGTTTTGTATTTGGCAGAATTGTTCTTCCTCATAAAACCTAGACCCTTCTCCGGGTTAAACTTTAAAATCTCTAGAAGATAGGTGGCATATACCTTTTCATTATAGATGGATACTAGCTGGAGTAAGTATGTATCAGCTAAAGACGAGAAATCAGCATCATAGTCTAAATCTTTATCCACGTATTCTTTTTTCAACAACTTCAAGATTATTCTGCAGATCTCTTCAGCAATAATTGATTTCGCCGTAGGTTTGAGCTCAGACAGAGATACTTTATAAACATGAATAAGTGCCAAGTAGTTTCGATTCTTATCCATATGTGATCTAATCACCTTATTCGAGGAATCTTGAGTATCATTTTTAATAAACATAGCTTTATCAAATCCATCAATAAACTCTATTATCTCTTTACTATTTTGCAAACTTTCATCACGGAGATATAATTTTTGTCTCAAAATAGACAATAACGTCATATCTACCTCATTCCCACTAGCAACGTCTTTAGTTAGCCTAATATATAATTCTTTTATATATTTTCCAAGGAGTTTCTCATACTCGGCCTTCTTTGACGTGATGTTCAATTTTGTAATGATTTTAGATACACTGGCATAAAACAGGATATCATCTAAGTCAACCTTTGGATCTTTATCAAATAGATATAAGACGAATTTTGGGTCAATTATTAGTTTTTCTTTCTCAGCAATTTCATTGAAAAGAATATCCATAGTTAACAAGTCGTCTTTTAAAAGTAATGATATTATTAATTGTAATTGGGTTTTGAGTTTTAGTATATCTTTTTGGTATACCGTTGTATCATTTTTAAGTGTGTCGAATAAGACCTTTGCCTTATGCTTGAGAGTCTCGACGTCATCCACGTTGTTAATTTCCATCATTTGGTTCTCAACATTAGCCAATATACTCTCTGTATGCAATAGCCAAACCTGGTAATCATCATACAATAATAAGTTACTTGCTATCATCGGAGAATCAGAGGAGATATTGCTTGTGCTGATTTGCGTTCCTGATGAGTCAACCTGCGCAATGGATTGGAGGAGTGCGTTATCAAGTATTTTAACTGTGCAATACAGCTTGGTAATGTGAGTTGTTAAAGGCTTGGGCAGGTCATTAGTAGACACGTTACCGCCAGCATCTTCATTTTTCTTGGAATCTGCTGGTTCCGTGGTAAGACCTTCTGTCCCTGAAATTCCAGTTCTATCTTTTGGTGCTGGAGAATGGTCCGTATGCTGCGTCCCTGACGTATCATCCTTATCATCTGTATTTGTATCTTTACTAGCTGAAGTATCATCATTATCGGGAACATTTGGAGTATCTTGAGTTTTGGTGTCTTCTTCGTTTTTATCTTCAATCGAATCAAGCTCCTCTGAATTGTCCTCAATTTCATTCTTCTCCAGGCCCTCGATCAATTTACGCACACCTACTTCGTACTCTACTTCTAGACTCTCCAACGAGTTTACAATCAACTTATCACCGTTGAAAATTCCTATGATATGTGGCCACTCAATTACTACGCTATCAGGGTAGCCAGCGTCTAGCCAAGATAATGTCCCCCTAGTGACATTTCCTCTGGTGTCGATGAACATGGCTATCGAAGTTTGTTCATCAGACTTGATAGTAAGCATATATTCTTCCTTTCCCTTCTTCATATCCTCAATAAATGGGACAATATGCGGTATTATCAGACTCTGTACCAGTTGACCATCGCTTTCTTGTGTGTACTCAAACAATGGGATCTTCCTAATTTGTTTTAGATCGATTATGTCATAGTTCTTCTTGTTCGCAACCAATGCCAAGCTCTTACTGTTAGATGAAGATGAGCTGGACGTCTTAATCGGTACACCTTTCAATGCATTAGAATAATTTAAATCAGAAATAAGTTTAAGCAGGTCTCGACCTACTTTAACTATTCGTATTTTACTACTAGCTAAAACTATTACATTGGTGCCATCCTCAGCAGTCTCGAATATTTGAATGTCATTTACCTCTTTAAGTTTCCCAATGTTGATAGGCGACAACTCGGGGAGCGAGTAGACGCTCGCTACACTGCCACATAGTATCAATGCTCGTTCTACATCAGCCAAAATCAATATCTTCAACACCGCACTGGATGAGGAAACTGGAACCTCCGATATTAGCATATACTCCGGTGCATCTTCAAATAAATGGTAATGTTTTACTGTTCCACCCTTTGTGCCTACATACAAGTTACTTTGATACACTCCAATTGAGGAAATCGGACTACTTTCGGCACCTGCAATCAGTAATCCCAAATCATTGGAAATCACTTTCGAGGTTTTGAATATAATGGGCGGTTTATCATTGTCACTTGAGTTATGAGGTCGTGAACCTAAATGAGACATCATTCACAAACAAAATACTTATCACAGCAGTTTTCAATTCTTTTAAAGAGTAGAGCTGTCCCAAATCAATAGTAATAGTTAGTGAATCGATACCCAATGCTTTCTTAAGTACACCCCATTCTGTATCTAATCTCTTGTCTGTGCAATTCGTACATGCTCCACATTCTCATATTATCACGTGATCCAGTTGGACTACCGTACGTGAAAAATTATTGCTGCATTTTTCACTTGCCCTGACGTGGTCCCTTTATGGGTAAGGTAGAGTGATGTCTTGCCTCTTCCGATCATTCAGTGAATGTTGTCTATCTGATAGATATCTTTAAAAGAAAAAATCTGTATTTTAATGTAATTTTGTAGAAAATTCGTCGATATTTCTTCGACTGTGCAGTCGATTTGCACCCATTGAGAAATACTTGCTCTACAACCAGTACACGTCAATCCATTCCGCTTCAGTCTATATTCACTTCCTTCTACACTCTATTCATTGGTATCTATTTAAATAGTGACCTTTGGAGGAAAAGCTATGTTGTCCCTGTGTGCGATATATTCACTATCGGCGAATCCCAACTTGTTTTCGATTTCATTCAGCTTTAAGCCCTTGATCAACGAGATTTCGGTAGAGCTATAATTTACTCTACAGTGTCCTTTTGCTACTGCTTCTGTAATAGGACTATCTCTTTTTGGAATGACCTTCAATTCAACACACTCACTTTCATGGAAAGTTCCCTCTACCTCCACTATACCTGCTGGTAGTAAACCTGCTCTGTTTTTTCTCGTCAACGCATCGTAGCACCCCTGGTCTATTATTAGCGAACCCTTGGTCTTTAATCCATGTAATAACCAAAATTTCTTATCCGATTTGATTTGTGAATCCCTTGGTAATCCTAAAAATCTGGTATGGAGAGGCAATTTGTTTTTGTTGACATCATCTAAAATGGTCTCATGTTGCTGAGCAATACTCAAATTCTTTCCATCTTGGTGCTGGATATTGGCAACAATCTCCAAAATACACTGAGGTTTCGAAGAAAGAGTTATTATGGTAGTAACACCAGCATTGGTAGCCAATTCTGCGGCAATAAGCTTAGTAGTCATCCCACCAGTCCCTACTTTACTACCACCACCTATTGGGGCGCTTTCTGTGTCTGTCTTTACCGACAATTCATCAATATCGTCTACAACCAAGATAGGCTTGGCATCGGGGTTCGACCTAGGGTTGTCGGTGTACAAGCATTCTACATCGGTCATTAAAAACAAGTAGTCTGCGTGTACCATACCTGCAGTTATGGCAGACAAGGTATCGTTATCACCAAACTTGATTTCTGCAACAGAAAGGGTGTCGTTTTCATTCACAATTGGGATCACGCCCATCTCTAATAGCTCATGGATCGTATTAGTGGCATTTTTATACTGTGTGAAGTCCATTATGTCGTTTCTAGTAATTAATATCTGTGCGATGATCTGATTCAACTGACGGAATAAATCATCGAAAAGGCCGATCAACTGGCCCTGGCCTATTGAAGCCAAAGCTTGAACTTCTGATAACTTGGATGGCTTTACACTCAACCCTACTCTTTTCATTCCAATGGCGATGGCTCCCAGCGAAACTATCACGATCTTGTGGCCCAGTCTTCTAAGCTTAACCAACGTTTCTACTATCAAAGACATATTGGCGAGGCGAGGTTCACGAGTGACCTCATCTACAAGAGACGAAGTACCGAGTTTAACTACAATAGTGTATTTTTTCATATCTGTGCTACAAGAGAGTGTGCTAATGAAACAGTCTAACACCAACTATTACTCTTCAAAGGAAGAGTATAAACGATAAGCTTTGGTCTATGCTTCCCATGCTTGACTCATACTAAGAAAAGTATAAGTTACACAAAAACGGTTTAACCATATAGTCGCAGCGGGTTTGAAGAATGGGTGCAAATTACGAGAAAGTGCCCACATCAAAGGGTTGGTTTGGGATATTTCTTGCTATGGAGCAGACTGGAGGTATTGGGGGTACTGGAAGTTATGAAGTGAAATTGAAAAAATGGAAAAGTTTTTGTGCTTAGTAAGAAAATACTGAACCTGGCTGGCTTCGGCGTGGCTTCGGGCTTCTCTAACCATTTTCCTAGCTCCACTAGGGCCCCCTAGGGATCTCTAACTGTTCACTTTCTGGTACAGTTCAGTTGAGTAACGGAGGCAGTAGCTGTTTTGATACAAAAAAGAAATAAGAAGTGTATGTAAATATTAAGAAAAAGACGGTGCCCTGTTTACTGGTTATTTTATTAAATCTATAATACAGAATGTCTGTCATGCTATCCAAAAAGCTTAATACCACCGGCTGAAACTTCTTGTTCTTCTTCGTCTTCTTCATCTTCATCTTCGTCGACTTCGTTCATATTCACCTTTTGGCCCAACAACGAAGCGAAAAACTCATCAATCTGTTCATCCTTCCACTTCCATCCGTTTCTAGGAGCTTCAAAGTTTGCAATTGGCTCCTGTATGTGGTACCTAAGCTTACGTCCCTTTGATGCCTTGGTTTCGATATTCTTGTTCAATTTTTGGGACCTTTGTGCACTTGCTAACGACAATGTTAAGCCAGATGCTGGGTTTGAAGATTGCACCTTCTTATCAACAAGATCGCTCAACAAGACTCTATAGAAGTCTTCATCGTCGAAAATTATATCCAACTCGGCGATCGACAGAGTCTTGGAATTGTTCTGTTCCTTAGGAATATCGATATCGTCTTCATCTTCTTCAACTCCTACTTCGTGGTCACTCCCCTCTGCACCTTTCTTTTCCTTCAAGTAGGTGTCAAATCCTAAGGGTCTGACCAACTTCCTGTTCAACTTCGTTCTTTTTATCAATCTTCCCATGTCACTCAAGTTGTTCACCACTTGCTGCTCTGAAGTTTGGTTAATTGCCTTAAACTTACCAGCATTTAATGCACTAGCTCCAGATGAAGTTTGAATCTTCGATGACCATTTGGTCAACACAGCTGAACGGTATTTGTTCAAAAGAGAATCTTGTTCGTTCGTCACCTTGAGGTATTCGCTCAAAGATCTCTTCTTTGGCTTGGAAACTGTGGTCTTGGAAATGGACTCCTTGGTCAACATTGTGTTACGCAAGGTGAAGATTTGGTCAAGCAAATCAAAACACTTTTCTTGACTCTGCTTCAAGTATTTCTTAGACTTCTTGGTGTATAGCTTCTCGGACATGGCCACATTGTTGTTAGGTGGTAACTGGTTCAGGGTAGTGATTGATTTCTGGAGCTTGATACGGGAATCCAAGATGGTATCAAAGAATTTGTGTTGCTGAAGGACAGAGTAACCCTTGAGGGCATCGTTAGAAGCTGACTGGGAGAGTCTGCTGACTATCTGTTTACGTTCACTTTGAAGAAGTAGCTTAAGCTTGTTTCTCTTGTGAGATAAATCATCATCGGAGACATCGTTTTGTTCGTCAAACTGGTCTGCATCTTCATCCTGGGACTCATCTGAATCTTGGTCCAATTCTGAGTCGTCCAAATCGACTTCCCCGTCTTCATCTTCGTCTCCCTCTTCGTCTTCACTGTCTTCATCTTCATCTTCCTCTTCCTCTTCATCGTCGTCTTCATCTTCCTCTACATCTACATCTTCGTCGTCGCCATACAAGTCTTTACGGCTAGAAATGCTTCCCGTATACTTCAGACTCAAATTTATATCGTCCTTTCTTAATTTGGACTTGTTCACCTTAACATAATGTTGCTTCTGTAGCTCTTCATCCTCTTCAGACAAGTCATCTCCGCTGTTGTCCGAATTGTTCTCAAAAACATTGTCACGAAGCTCGTTATCTTCAATGTCAAATTCTGTAGTGGGCTTCGTAAGCTCAGCAATCTGCTCAGCGAGTGTTTTACCCATATCTACTTAGCGTTAGTGGCGTACAAAAGACGGGCGTAGTTAGGCCTACGATGTAGCTCATCTCAAATTTTTCATAGTGGAGGGAAGAGATGTAGTGATTACGTAAGCAACTTTTCGTGTGTATGGGTGTATGGATGTTGTGTCAAGACTGTGCTCAGCTGAATACGATTCAGGGTAGAAACAGGGTAGAACCACCCAGAGATCGAAGGAATTAGTTTTGATGTAGTGGTAGTCCTCAAAAGAGAAGATTGAAGATATGACAGGATCGGTTCGTTCAAAAATTATGATATAAGGTCAAAGCTTACAATGTTCTCTACGCTAGTTGCGAAATTCTGGCCCACTATAGTTTATTTTATTTTTAGAACCTAAGGTCCACTTAGTACGGGTATGACTTTAATGTAGAGTAGCTCTGAGTAGTACATTTTGAAGTCCAATTTTGACCACTGCAACAAGGTACTGTGCCCAGTCGATATACTGACCTTTTTGGCAGTCCCTGCTAGTCTGGCCCACAGTAATTATTTTATTTTTAAAACTTAAAGCCTACTCAGTACGAGTATGACTGTAACTTGCAGTGACTCCGAGTACTGCGCTGTCGAGTCCAATTTTGACTACGGCAAGCTCCTATACCATTGCGGAGTGCTGCTTGCGGAGTGCTGCTACTGTACCCAGATCGATATACTGACCTCTTTGGTTCAGTCCCTGCTACTCTGGTACCTGCAGCACTGCGAGCTTCTAGCTGTACATCGATGCTTGAGGCTGTGGGGTCTGTACGTTTTGAGCCTAGTTTGGTACATAATGAGAAGAAAAAAAAAAAAAAAAACGCGAGCAACAACAAAAAAGAAAAAAAAAGATACCACCAGAAAAAACAAAACCCTACGAATGTTTGGAAAAAGGACCAGCAGTGTTTTCATCGATCTAGCAGTATTGTAGCCAAGTAAGCATGAAGTTGATATCGCTACTTATTGGAATAGTTTCATTTATATCGGTTGTGTCAGCATTAGCCAACCAGGATGACGGTGGGGGCGATACCACCACCGCTAAGACCACCTCAGCCACCACTGTGTGGATCACGATAACTACCAACGGTGCACTTGCTACTGTGAAGTCGACCTATCACCAATCTTTTGTTGAAACATATACTTCTGCTACGTCTAGTGCAGCAGCAGGCACTATTGGAATGGGATCTATATCAGGCAGTGTCGGGGGCGTAAGGACATATGCACACACAACTGTATCTGGAGGAGCAGGAGACATACAGGGAAGCATTTATGGTAGGGTTGTAGGAATGTTAGTTTTATTACTTGGATATTTGATCTAGAGCGAGCGAAAGAAAGTGAAGTGGAAGAAATGAGAAGGCGAAGCAAAGCAGCTAATAGAAGGGAGAGAGTAGGCAATAGGCAGTTAGCAAGGCGCAAGGAAGCCAAAAAAATATACATAGCTAAGATTACAGTAGGACCATATATATATATATATATATTATGAATATGTGCACTTGGTAACGTTCTCATGCTGTTCACGCATACGGACAAAAGTGCATGGAAAATTCAATATACAGTTAAATGGAAATTTGATCCAGTGTAGATGGCTTAACATGCAGAATGCAGAGCGTACTGATTTAGGTGAAGAGATCAGAGAACTGCGGCACTGAGATGAGGAAGAGCGAAAGGGAGGAGTGAAGCAGAATCATGAAGGCTAAAGGGTCCTGTTCAGCGATTAACAGGGGAAATCGCAAGAAGCAAGATGTCAGAGAAGGGTAGAAATAGCCAGATGGGGTTAGAAGTACGGTGCATCGAGTTGGCTTAACATGCATATGTGGTGAGCCTACTTTCTCTGGGTGAGCGTGCAGCATACAGAGAACAGAGAAGAAAATAGAACGAGCCAGAAAGAAAGTAAGCAAACGTGAGCAGCTAGAAGTTCGAAGTTTACTAGTACAAGGATTGGAATGGCAGAATTGGAAGAAAACCAGAACGAAGGAAATCCGTAGGCTATATCAAATTCACAATGGCTACCTCTTGCTCACTGATCTGCAGCACACAATAGGAGAAAAAAATGTTAGCGAGCGCCCAAGTACCGAAAAACACCAAAGAGCTACCAGCAGCAGCACCGAGAGCAGTACTGAGAAGCCATAAGAACACCACAGTCTACTCAATACTCGGCCCATATTCGTACAGACAAACGAATACCATGCTAACCAGGGTCCCCAGCTTTTCCAAACTCTGCTTATACACCTCTATCCGCCTATCCTCTCTGTCCACCTCTATCCACCTATCTCCTCTCTTCACCTCAACCTTTCCTCTGCTTATCCTTTTCATACACACCACCTACGCACTACTCTGCACTTGCGCCAAACTCGCACTCATTCCTCCATACTGCCTTTTACGCACACAACTCACTACATGCAGTACACAGACTCACATTTACACGCATCGAAATTTTTCTCTTTTTCCCTCGCTGAAAATCGTCAATTTGTGGATTGAAAGTGAACTTCCACTGAAAGAAACTCCAGAGGAAGAGTTTTTGGCCCAATAAATCTAGTAAAGTAAGTATACATGGCGATGGGGACCAGCGCATTGGAGAGGAGAACGATGTAACAAAAGAAAGAATCGACTTTCTGCGGTTCTTGGTGAAAGAAAATACACTTGAAATTTTTTTGCGTTTTTCTCTTCTTCCTTTTTTTTTTTTTGCGTTTTCTCTTTCTTTCCCTCTCAGCAACCTTTTACTAACAGTTCAACCAGATGTCCGAAGAATTAACTAACAAAACTGAAGAATTAACCTTGGAAAATAACGACACTGTCTTATCCAACAAGGAGGAATTTACTGCCAAGCACCCCTTGAACAACAAGTGGACCTTGTGGTACACCAAGCCTCAAGTTACTAGAAATGAAAACTGGCACGATTTATTGAAACCTGTTATTACATTCTCATCGGTGGAAGAATTCTGGGGTATCTACAACCTGATCCCACCAGCCAACCAATTGCCATTAAAATCAGATTATCATTTATTCAAAGAAGGTATCAAGCCAGAATGGGAAGATGAAAAGAACTCCAAGGGTGGAAGATGGCAATATGCCTTCACCAACAAGCGTGAAGTCACCTCTGTCATCAACGACTTATGGTTGAGAGGTTTATTATCTGTCATTGGTGAAACCATTGAAGATGATGAAGATGAAGTCAACGGGATCGTGTTGAACATCAGAAAGCAAGCCATCAGAATTGGTATTTGGACCAAGGATTGTGATGAAGTCAAGTTGAAGACCGTTGGTGAAAGATTAAGAAAGGTTTTAAGATTGTCTGAAGATCAAAAGATTGACTTTATGTCCCACGACGATTCCAACAAGAAGGGATCTGAGCCTCAAATCTTATTGTAAGCGCCCAGCGGATTGCAGGTAGCGCTCGCTAACTTGGGTTGGCTAGGATAGCTTAGCTTTAGGTATTCAAAACGGAGCAGAAAGAGGGCGGGATGAGTTTATCTATAAGCTTTGGTTCCTTTCTTCTCAAACTGTGCCGTTATTTAGGAGTGATTTAGTTATACGAAACTCATTTTTATTTTATTTTCTTTTTTTTTTTTTTTCGTTTTTTTTAAAGTTTACCATCAATACATATAAGAATTTTGATCTGGTGTAGTGCTGTGTATGGTGATCTGGTGTGGTGCTCTAGATGTAGTAGTTTTGACAATCTAGAGTTGTTGTGAGGTAATTGAGGCTGGTTCAAAGTGGAAGAAAAGACGCTCAATGTGGAAGAAGACAGACGTGCGTAGTGCTTTGTCTGATAAAGTGATCTGGTGCTCTGGATGTACTGGCTCTGTCTATGTGGCAGAAAAGATGCTCTATGTGTACGAAGAGTGATCTGTGTAGAACCCTGGATGTATATTATTGTTATTTAGGTGTGATAATTATATGACTAACACATATCTATCGATATATATCTTATAGCTGTCTCTAGGTGTATATATAGCTTGCTTGTACGAAATAGGCTTCAGCTCTACTGGAGCTATAAATATTGGTGGTTCAGATGCATGTGGATGTCGGCTATTACATCACTGAATTCCGACAGTGGCTATTACTTCGTGACTGACCGGGTGGTCCTTAGCATCATTGGTCTGGTACGAATCTGTGCTATGACCAGCCTACCGGTACTTTCGACTGTGGCTAGTGCACAGGGTTGATCTCACCGCTAGCAGCTATCAGTCTACCTGTTCGATCCCGGCGCTAGCACCTTACCTGCTGGATCCCATCGCTAGTTTCTTACCCTCGCTAGTACCCTACCGGGTTGATCTTGTCCCTTATGAAGTTTTGGATCAACACCCAGTAGCCCGGTTGCATCACCGTATCGTTGTGCTTGGAGTTCTCAAACTTGTGCATTGCCTTGTCATCGCTCTTCAACAACTCGAAGATCTTGTCCATGTGGGATGGAGGCACTATCTCGTCCTTTCTCCCGCTCAAGAGGAGCACAGGGATCTTGGATGGAATGAGTGGGACGAGCAGTTCCAGGTCCCAGGTCTGATGCACAAACGACGTGAAGTACTTCAAGAAAGGAAAGATATGCGGTACCGTCTTCTTAATGGAGAGGAATGTGTTTTCCAAGATGACCCCATGTATAGAAGTCAGCATGGTGGCAGCTAGGTAGATTCCCACCGCTCCGCCAAGCGATCTACAGTACAACACCAAGGAGGACAGGCTGAACTGGCGGTCCTCAGTGGTTAGGTATTCCATAACCCTTTGAGCGTCCACCTTCAAGCCCTTTTCTGAGGGAGTTCCTGTGGACTTCCCGTACCCCCTGTAGGAGTAAATAAACACATTGTACCCAAACTGTTTATAGAAGAGCGAAACTATGGGAAGCGCATGCCCTATGTTCCCAGCATTGGGTGATAGAATCAAGATGGTTTTGTTCGAGTAATCGGATGACAGCTGATCGTGTTTCAACAGATAGCACTGCAATGTTTCACCGTCCGGAGTCTTCAACGAAACTAGCTCGTAGTTCATGTCGTACTCATCTGGCGTGGAACAGTACCCATGCCCATCGTTCAACAGTGCAGGATAGATCAAGGATGATTGGTATGTGTAAAGCCCCAAAAGCACGAGCATCCCGAGCGACACCCCAACCTGCGCGAGCGTCTTACAAAACGTGATTATCTTTGAGAAGATCTGCGACGAAGCTGCGAACATTGTTACCCCCTCTATGGATCAAGTAACTTAGAAGTAGTAGCAGATCTAATTTGTTGATTTTCACTTTCATGTGCGCGAGCAAAAAAATCCAGTGATAACGATTTATAGGCACAGCGAGTATTTGTGAACTACGTCAGGTAATTGGATTCTGGCTAGAGTGGTTGGATAATCTTACAGTAGATAGGCATGTCGCTGACATCGGGAAATGCGTCCAGCAGTCTTGCTAAGTTTGCATTCAATATATATGGCACTTTGAACAACAGTAACTCGAACCTGTCTCCGCAGAGCACATCTTCGGCAGAGACAAGAGGCTCATCTGACAACACCAGCACGACACACAGCTACGGCAACGGCAACAACAATAACAGCACTACTAGCCTGACACATACAGCGCGGAAGCTTCACTATACCAGTGACCGTGACATATCGTCCATATCTCAATTGAACTTCCCCATACAGGCACACGAACAGTCTTCCGTTCATCATGTAGTAATAGGAGGGAGGAACTGCCTCAAGCTTTTATCGTTAAACGCAGACCAGACCAAAATAGTCAATGAATTAAACATACTAGACCATTCCACAAACAGTACGACTGGAAGCGGAGGCGGTTCGCCTGCGAGTGTGTTTGCATCCAACTCTCCGTACTCGTCCAACTCCTACTCAACCGCTAGAGGGGCCAAGTTGGTCAATGTGAACACCACCAAAGCTAAATACGATACAATAGCGTGCGGGCTATCCAATGGTGGTATCTACATATACAAGATTCAGAACAATGGGAAATCGACGTTAGCTTATAAGTTGACAAACCACAAGAGAACGATAAACTCCTTGGATTTCTTGAACATGAATCACCCTGAAGATACAAACCAGTTCATATCGGGGTCTCAAGACGGTACCATAAAGCTCTGGGATTTACGAACATCTTCGGTCAAGCCGATGATGAATATCGCAACGGGATCTCACTCAGACCCCATTAGATCTTGTGAGTACTCTCAGCACTCCTCCACAAGAAATAACAAGATAACCATTTTATCGGTGCATGATTCTGGAGCCTTGTACAAGTATGATCTTAGATCCACACAACAGCAAAACCCACACCAACCACTGGCTGGAGGTAACTATGGTGCAGGGAGTGGTGCTGGAGCCGGTGGTGCAGTTGCAATTATACCAGAAAGGAAATGGAATTTCCACACGGGGCCAGCACTCTCTCTCCACATACACCCTGAAAAGGAATACGTTATCACAGGTGGCAGAGATCAAAAGCTATGTGTATGGAATTATGGTGACAATGAGTACAGACTGCTGCCTGAAATTATAGTTAACTCGTACGGTCCAATTCTGAAAGTTAGATGGAGTCTTTATCCGACTGCTTTGAAGAGCACCGCTAACTACATGTCTGAAGAGCTGGACTACACAATTTCTGATCGTGATGATCCAGAAGATGCCTATTCCAAGAACCCGTTATACAATTATGACATTGCATGCACGTATCTTAATGAAGATCCGACAATTACTGTATATAATTTGAAAAGAAAGTATATCCCCAAGGAAATAATCACCACGACTTCATCAAAACCATTTCAAAACTTCATATGGGGCGCCCATCCCAAACACACAAGGAATATTTGGACCATAACCAAAGCGAACCAATTCACTAGCTATTCTTTAGATAGGGCAAGAGCTGCAATAGATAGTGAAATAATTAAACCATTGGACAATTTGAGGAATATTTCTGTTGGTTGGAGTCATAGTATGGGTGACTTTACCTTTATTAATCAAGAAAAGTACGAATTTCAAAATCTGGAAGGTGATCTTCAACAGCAAGTGGAACAACAACTGCAACTGCAACAGCTACAAATTCAACCAATACTACAAGAAAAAGAGGATTATGAGATGGATTTAGCAATGTCAATTGAAGGAGGAATGACAGGTTCAGATGCTGGAATGCATATGGATGATATGGAAAAGGATAGAGAGCCCTTAGCCAGTCCTATTGGAATTGTGCCAATTGCTACAAACAACAACTCTCCAATAAATTTTCATTCTAATTTACCCTCATCATACCTGAGTGTCCAAGAAATTAAGAGGGCAGGCGGTGCAGGGATTCTGGCCGCTCCTAGCAATAATAACATCACGACAAACAACCCAATCAGCACTGTTAGCAGTTCAGTTAATAGCGGTAACTTTAAGCAACAACTATCCACACCTATTCCACATAGGCCCACATTAAACAGAAATGCCACTCAAGAATCTATAGTATCTGCTGCAGCGTCGTCACCGCTCCAGTCAGCACAAAATCAATTTCATTCTCTACTGTTGCTGCAACAATTGCAACAGATACAACAGCTACAACAAACTAAAAGAATCCTTTCAGTTATGTACCCGTCTCCATATCTTGTACCTATTTCATTACCAGTTCAATTGAATGATGAATCTATATTCGAAACATTATCTTTCCATTACCTAATATCAATACCGGATGGGTTCACTTTAATCGATGCGTGTATATTGAATGCTAACGTAGCTGCAAGTGTCAATAAATTTCGTGAATGTCAAGTCTGGAGAGTCTTGGCTGTCAGTCTTGAAGAAGAAGGGATTTCAAGAGGAACTTTTGATAATTTGGGAAGAGGGAAAGACGATGATGAACTTGTTAATAGACTGGATTCCGTTTCAACTTATTTATATAGCAGTGGAAAAGGAGAAGGTGGGAGAGTAGATGGTGAAAAAGTCCGTGAAGAGGATACTCGATCAATTCTGCTGGAATTAGACAACTTCGTTGGGTCGTTCAATTCAAACTCTACCCTGAATTATGGTGGGACAGATATTGGAAGTTCCGGTAATAATCTAGATGGAAATAATTCTTCACCTGAGAAGGCGAGCTCCATTAAGAAAGTGGTGAGTAGAAAAGATGGCTCGTTTTCAGAGCAGAAAAATAGCTCAACGGGGAACTTAAAAGATATGATCAACAATAGTCGTGGTGCTTTCCCTAACAGCATTAGCCCAATGGCTACCAGATCCAATAGTATGTTGGCAATGAATAACAAAGGACTGCAAGTATTTCGCAACAAAAACGATGAAAATGATAATGAGGATGCTATCGTTGACGATGATGATGAAGGGATGACCATATCTGCAAGGCAATCTTTAATACAGATCAATAAAAGTAAAGAGAGAGAGGAGGGGGAGATAACAGAAGAAGATGATCTGGCATTGAAGAAGCAAACATCACTTTCTGTCTTAAATGCTTCGAAAGATGAAGATATGGTGCCTGAAATGTCCGCTTCTCCTCCAATAAGGGTTGAGACTTCAGCCATGCATAGATATGGAGAAATAAACTCATCACCCAATAGAGGTGCCATAGGGAAGAGTAATGCTAGATTTTCATTTGGAACAGGTAAAAGACCTGCTGCCGAAGACTTGGATGATGAAAATATGAACATTTTACATGCTGCTGGATATGGAACATCTGTGTCATCTTCTGGAAAGTCAATGGCTGGCTCTCCTACATTTTTCGGTAACTTACCTCATTCATCATCTCATTCCCACCATTCACAACAACAATTACTGCATCATGGATCGTTTAGCTCTCGTAGGAACTCCAATTTATTCGGTAATCGAATGATAACTGGAAGTGGGGTGGGTATTAAGAACTCCATCTCCTTCACTTCATTACCAAAAGAAGATACCCTCAACAGAGTTCAAGAACAAGATGAAATGAGTCAGTTGAGCACTTCTGCCGGACGTGAGAGTATTAATGTCCCATCTCAGTTAACGAATGCGATCCACAAGGAAGAAGAAGAAATCAGATTACAAAATGAATCGACAAAAGCGTCTACCTCACTTTTCAAACCTTGGACTACTAAAAATCTTCTTGAAGAAGCATTGAATTATGCAGATTTACAAGGAGATATTCTAATGTGCTCTACTTTGGCATTGCTCTTCTACGATCCAGTGCTTAAGAGTAAAAGAAGCTCTGTTTCCAAAGAAAATTGTATTGAATGGCTTGCGCTATATATCGAGATACTTAGGAGAAAGCAATTATTTGTAACAGCAATGAAAGTGTTGAATGAAACTCCAAGTGGGCTTTCAGCAGATTTAAATAGGATCTGTGGGAACGAAGTTAATTTGAGGTTCTACTGCAATTGGTGCAAAAAGTTACTTGTGAACGAGGAGTCAAAGGTGAAATTCAATAGTAGAAAGCGGACCAGCCAGTATGGTGTCGCAGAAGACAGTGGTGATTTTGGCTATTGGTATTGCGACGAATGTTCCAAGCAGCAACTGGGTTGTGTCTATTGCAACGAACCTTGTAAGGGTCTTAACGTTGTTGTCAGCTTGAAATGTGGCCACAGGGGCCATTTTGGTTGCTTACGTGAGTGGTTTGTTGAAGATGAAAACATCGAATGTCCTGGAGGATGTGATGTATCTATTATATGACCCAAAAGTAAGATAAATAGAAATGAAAATGCCAACATTTATTTCATGCAATTGTATTTGCAATTTCACTTCTATCTCACACTATATCAATAAAATATCACCTATCTCTATATATTTCTTCACTAAGCGATATTTGACCACATAAATCCCGTCTCTTTCCAACTCCAAGTCTTCATCTTGTGTCAAAAGCAACGTTATCGGAGTTTTAGAGACCACTTTTATGAAAACTGGTTGATCTATATCTGGTTCCACAACCATCAGCTGCCCTCCGCTCGTGTCATCCAAAAGAGTCAAGAAATGGGGCATTTTCTTCAAGAAACAAGAATTATAAAGCTGAGTAAGGATCTTGAAGTGCTTATGTATATACTCTGTCTCTTCTTGCGATAAAAGTGGTTTCGTATCCCTACCATTACTCTTGCTATCGTTCACCTGGTTTATGTAGAAAATGTTAAATTTGTCTAACTTCGCCAATCGCACTCTTAAGTACAGTCTCACCAAGTAGTTTAGCCTCTCGATCTCTGTCTCTACAATCATTAACTGGAGCTTGAAGTCCGAGGAAACGATCCCGCTGCCTATATTCAGATCACCATACTCATGTGAGTCTAGGAGATATTGCTGTTGCTGAGATAGCATCAATAGCACCAGCTGCAACAACGAATGCTCATAGGGCAACACGTCCGGAGCCATTCTCTCGTTGACCATAGCAGTAACCAACCGATTATATAGATCCAGCTCGATTTTCGAGCTTCTTTTTGGAGCAGCAGACTTCTCGAAGTCCAACAAGATGTCGTCAATGTCCATAGTTGTAAATATACCTCTTTTAGTAGTAGATCAGACTAAATTAAACTCTCAAATGGTTTTCCATATTTCGATTTTTCATTAGACCCTGCCGATTTCCATATACGCGTTGTTTGGTCGTGCATATAAAAATGTCAATATGGGTCATCGAGAAGTTGGTGGGGTCTGTTGATGATTGCAAAGGTGGAGTTATAGCAGACACATTGTAGGCATATTGTAGTGTTAATTGTAGAACATGGATCGACAGACATTGCTAGAGCAAAAAAGACAGAGACTTCAGGAATTGAAGCTGAGGAGGATCAACCTGCAGACCCTGGTTGCCCCAGAGAAGAATGCTAGCGAGATCGATGATTTGGTTGAGCGCATGCAAGTAATACCCAAGACCATGGTGAGTGTAGGGGTTCAAACGGATCCGCATGAGAGTGTGCCTAACAATGAGGAAACTGAAAGGTACAGCCAGCCGCCAAAAATGGGTAAGATAACCTTCGACAAGGGAGTACAAGCTGTGCCAATTGCAACCGATCATTTTGCGGAACAGCAAAACATTGACAGTGCTAAAGAAAACGAGATACAACTGGGAAGTAAAAACGAACAGAATTTGACTGACGATTCACTATCAGAAGAAATCGACTTTGAAAACCTCAATTCCGAAGTCTCCAAATCTCTCAAGACCCTCAATAAGTTATTGGTTCAAGAGTCACAAGAGCCTAACTACTTTCTGGTAAATGAAAATCAACCCACAGACTTGGGCTACACAATTTCTAACAGCATTTCAGCATTAATTCACTCTAATACAATCCCAGGTATTGGTGGTCGGGCTGTGAAGTGCATGGATGTGTGCCAGAGCCATCCCGAGCTAATTGTGGTCTCCTACGCAGCACGCAATGAGTATCACACCATCAATGACAGTAACAGAGGGAGAGATGACGGCAACGGTGCCTCCCTTGACAGAATGAAGAACTCACCTGGTTGTGCGGGGGTATATAATATTGGGGGCAAGAGTCCGGTACTAGAGTTCTATCTTCTAGCCACGTCGTCTATCTCTAGTATCAAATTTGATAGAGGCCAACCTAACAAGGTTATAGGGGGGTTGTCCAACGGAAGAGTTGTGATATGGGAACTTCAAAATAATGGGCACTCTATTGTCCTATTGCCACTGTTAGTATCTCCAATACTTTCAACTAGCAGCAATTCTCTTATAAGGAAGGGTAAGGGATCGGATCTGATTTTCTTTCAGAACCATACCAACCCAGTATCGCTGATCGTTCAAGACAGCGACCTTGGTACTCATGATAATAATCGCCCAGCTATCACAGCTTCTGTGGATGGTATAATTAACTTATGGTCTACCAGCATATTGGCAGCTCCTAAGGTTGATTCACTACAACTTTACAAACCGTTGACGGTGGATGAAGAGCAGCTTACAAGTGGAGGAAATTTCACATCAAGCGGACCCAAGGAAAAGCTATTAATCACTAGTATGATTTTACTTAACCACCTCCAGCAACAGCATTCCAATTCTTCATCGGCAGCAGCATCGAGCCTGGCCAATACCACATCTTCCAACGAAATATCTGAGCAGCACGCATTTTTAAATAAGACTATTGTTGGATGTCAAGATGGAAACTTGTACAAACTATGCAACAACAAGAAAAGTAAACAGTTCATTCAGAGTTCTAGTATGCTACTGGAATCAGAACACTCAATGGTAACAACCTTAACGGAGTTGCACATCAATAATGGACTGAATAATAATGCACACAATCAGTTTACAATTATTATTACAACAGGAATAGAAAATGGGTTCAAAGTATGGCAGGTGACAGACGACTCTATAAGAAAAGTAGCATTTGTCCATACGAACTATACATTGGTGAATGCCCTAAGTAGACCACAAAAGGGCTTCCAATTTATAAGTTTGGGATTGCAGCCATCTGCTTCCTCGTCTACACATGTGAGCCCAGTGATTGAAATTTGGAACTTACAAAAGAAATTGATGAACTCTATATTGACCTTAGACATACCAGAGATCGCTAGAGAACTGGTACCAACAACCATGGAATTTTCCGATTCGGGTGATCTGCTTTACGTTGGCTTCAATGACGGTAACGTTCTAGTCTGGAACGTAGACGATTTATTACTTGAGGATACGGCTGAACTAAACCCAAAGATTGACGATGGAATTGAAAAACTATTATCTAAATAATTACAATAAGATTTATAGATGCATTTATATTACAGTATTTAATGTACAAATTTGGATCACCTCTCGCCTACGGCACTAGAGAAAACTGGAATAAAGATTGTCTCTGGACCTAATGCTTATGTTACCACCAATTTCAGTCTTTCCGAGCTTCTGTTGTTCAATTGAAATACAATCATTGGTTGCCAAGACCAACAATTCGAAAAAGCACTTGGTAGCTTCTCTTTTTTGGTTTATGAGACTATCACCCGTGGAGACTACTCCCAAAGGAGATTTGTCTTCATCTGAAAGGGACAAATCCTTTGCTATGATGTCACTAAGAGAAGTCACCTCATCTCCTTCGATAAAGGTTTGTCTTAAATGTTCAGCTATTTGAATTGTTGACTTTGTTTTATTATCGGAGAACTCGTCTTCATCACCTTCTTGGTTAACGTTATCATCTTCTAAGATATCGTGAAGTTGCTGTGGTGATTCATGGTCCGACTCCAAGTCTGGTAATGATAAATCGAAATCTAAAGTATTGTCAAAATTGACAGGAGACCCAGCATCGGATCCAAGGCGGACTTCTTGTTCGCTCAACTCTAAACAAGTTCTTTTCAATGTATTGTCAATATCCCAAATGGACCTCTTTCTATTAAAAGTAGTTGGCTCAGCCAATTCGTTTATGAGCTGTAGTTTGTCATTCTCAGACAACTCAATGGTGATGTAGCCATCGTCATTCATTTGCAATTGTTCTTGTTGGATGGTTCTCAAATTTTGAATTGGAATTCCTGTTTCCACATCGCTTTGAGAGTCGACTATCAACCTTCTTTTGACGGTTTTTAAATGTCCTTCTTCAGTTATTCCAACGAGCTTCCTCTTTGGACGTGGAGCAACAGCAGCTGCAGCGGCAGTTTCTGCGTTACCTTCAACATTAGCAGTTTCCACCACAGGAACAATTTCCAAGGGCTCGTCGAAGTCGAAGTCCAACATTGAGAGATCAGGTGCTTGAGCTTGGCCTGCATCTCTTCCAAGCTCTATGGATATGTCAGAATTATCTACAGCAGCATCAGTAGTATTTTTACCGGTATTGTCATCTTCAGTCAAGTCGAAGTCCAAGTCCAAGTCAACGTCCTGGTTGTCGTCTTCGTTGAACTCGATGTTTCTAGGGTACTCAATGGACTGATCGAAGTTGAATGAGTGGTCATCCAAAGAAAAGTCATCCGACGACGACCCACCAAAGCTGTCTCTCGTAGAGCGTTCGTTGCTGCCCAGCACCTCATCGTCAAGGTTCAAATCCTTTTGGTACAACAAGTCAAAGTTGGTGACCTGATCTGCCAAGGTAATCAGGTTTACGTTGACGATCGTCTGCTGCGCTGGCAATGTTATGGCCACAATAGAAGAGGCTCCTCCGCCACTTAACGCGCCCGCTGCTCCTCCAGAACCTCCAGCGGAACTTGCTTCACTTATCCCCGATGTGACAAATCTGAACGAGTTCTTCAACTTGTACAAGATGTCATTGACATCATCCAAAAGATACTTTGTCTTCCTGGAGTAAATTCGGACTATCCCCGACAAAAGCTGTCCAGATAACCTGAGTGTTATGGTGCCCTCCGCAGAATTGCCACTGTTGTTCGACCCGGTGATAAATTGTGATGTTTTGACTATATTGGTGCTCAATAATTGTTGCTTGGACAATTTCCGGTCGTAGTTAGCAGCTAGCCAAACATGAGCTAACGGACCCTGTTTCGATAATAGATGCTCTGAGAACATAATGCAAGGAATTGGTTAAAAGAAGCTAAGGATGAACCTGAAAAGAACAAGAAGAGAAGAACCGCTTCTAAAGATCCACATCAGTCTCTTCTACACTTGCCTACTACGCGATTGTTTACTGAAGACTAAACAACAAACGCAGATACGCGTAGGAGTTACATGCAGGACAGGATGGATGTAGTGTACCTGCAGGACAAGAGGACAGAAACTGTGTACAATATGCAGGACGCGAAGGTCGGTAGTAGAGAGTAAGTAAGAGAGCAAGAGAGTAAGACAGCAAGAGAGCAAGAGAGTAGGAGAGTAAAAGAAGTAGGTGTGTGGGGAGCAGGTAGAGTGTGAGCTCGTAGAGCGACTGCTTCCCACCAGAGCCCCAGGGCCTGAAACGATCACCGTCCAGTATCACAGTACGTGAGTGGAGTATGGCCCAGGTGCAGGACACCCGTGCACCACCTCCAATCTCCAACATGAAAACTTGAGGCACAAATGAAAAGTCGAAGCAGAGGAACCTCCGTTAGCTACCGCCAGAAGGAACTAGATCGAAGAGATGAACCTTGAATCCAAGCTCAACAACTCGCTAAACAACGTGCTTCGGTCTGCGGGGTATATATTTGAGATCATCAACCATAACAAGAAGCACTCCAATATCATCACTGGCACTAACAACCAGTTGATTACTCCACAGATCATAGACCAGCTCTCTGGCAGCCTTCAGAACTTTGATGATATTTTGGACGATACAATTGGCAAGTTCAACGATGCACGGTGGTGTATAGAGCAAATTGTGGAGAACAAGCACAAGCAAGAGGAATTGAAGTTGAAAGAAGAGCAAGAGAGGTTGAGGAGAGAGGAGGAGGAGAAGAAGAGACGAGAGGAGGAAGCTGAGGCGAAGAGGAAGCAAGAAGAAGAGAGAAGGGTGGAAGAAGAAAGAAAGAAGAAAGAAGACGAGGCCAGGAAGGCTGCAGAAGAATTGCAGAAGAAGAGTGAGGAAGAGCAGAAGAAGGAGAGAGAGATACAGTTACAACAGCAGCAACAACAGCAACAACAGCAGGAACAACAGCAGCAAGGGCTTGGTCTTGGTTTTGATGCCGGTCTGATGATGATGTCGCCTTCTTTTGACTTCAACATGGATGATATTACCGGTATGGGCAACAAGAATAACTCCAACAACGAAAAAGGAACCGGAAACGATAATGAAGGTGAGAAAAGGGACATACCCAACCCTTCAGATATACTTTCCTCAATCAGCTATACTGGTGGTAACCCAGACACAAGTAAGGTGGAGGAGAAGAAAGGCAGTAACGGCAACGGCAACAACAACAACAACAACAACAACAACAACAACAACAACAACAACAATGCAGGTGACGATAACACCGGCTCGAATGGTGCTCAGAACGAACTAAACACAAATGCGAATGATTTGGACTTGGAAATGAACAACTTGCTCGGGAGCGATACGCTGTTACTCGATGGGCTTAATATGGGGATGCTTGACCAAGGACTCGGTGGAGATGTCAATTTGGGAGAAGATGATGAGTTTGATGTGGACAGCTTCTTGAACCAGTTCGGAGGAGGCGACTAGAAGGTCGAACTCACGCTCCACAAGAGAATGTACACATAAACAGAGAGTTAAAGTGCTCATGACCGCACAAACATTCCAGAGAAGAGTTACAGCAAAGGTTTTGATAAGTACGAGATGGACGGTTTGTAAACCGTCACCAGATCCGACGCGGAGAGGTCAAGTAGCAAGGATATGCGCCGTGGGGACACATGGGAACACATGGGAATACAATAGAGGTGAGTGAAGTGCTCCAGAGCCTGCTGTGCGTGCCTCAAGCTGAAACGAATGAAACTAGCAAGTAATACAATAGTATTGCTTTATTTTTTTTTTCCGAGTTTTTTTTTAAGGCGCCTAATAGACTGCTCAGCGTCCTCTACTTCCTGGTTAGGGGACTTCCCAGCCGCCCCAATTAACCCTGGGACCCGTCCACCCAACTCTGGAACCACCATACTGCTACCTACTCCCCTGTCTAAAGACGTGCGTCTACCAATCCAATCCAGCCCAACCCAGTTTTTCGTGTGCGCACTTTCTTCCGAATCAGGAAGTCGACCTCAACCAATGAAATCCTGAGATTTCCCTACTTCGGATTTCCAACACTATGAGGAAAATCTCTTTTTCTTTTTCAGTGAAAAAACGTAAACGTAGTAGTAGAGTCTACACCAGTCAGTTGCTTTTATTATACATATAACCACATAATGTTTAGACAAACACTCCGTCAAGTAGCACGTCAATCCACCGGCGCTGCTAGAAGAGCTTACGCCACAGAAGCTACCTCCGATGCCTTAAAGTTATCCTTGGCCTTACCACACGAAACTTTATACTCTGAATCTGAAGTTCAACAGGTCAACTTGCCATCAGTTAACGGGGACTTGGGTATTTTAGCCAACCATATTCCAATCGTTGAACAATTGAGACCAGGTTTATTAGAAGTTATCTCCAAGGGTGGAGAAACCGAACAATACTTTGTCAGTGGAGGTATTGCTACCGTCCAACCAGGGAACAAGTTGACCATTTCTGCCATTGAGGCTTTCAAGCCAGATCAATTCGATGCTGCTGCCGTCAAGTCCTCAATTGCGGACGCTCAAAAGCGTGCTTCATCATCTGACGAGGTTGTTGCTGCCGAAGCCACCATTGAATTGGAAGTTTTGGAAGCCTTGCAAACTTTCACCAAATAAGGAAGTAGTGATACAGCGTGAAAACTCTTTAATGCACTACCTATAACTGCGTCAAATAATGATAAGGAAGACCCAAAGAAAATAAAAATTAAATAACTTGTGTGTAAGTTGTGCAATCAAAAAGAAAAAAAATAAAAAGCAAGATATGAAACTACCACATTAGACCGAAAATGTGGAAAAAGGAGGAAGGGGGTTGGTGGGTGTAGCTTTAGGAGGTGCCTAAACGAATCATAAGGAGACCCACGAGGTCAAAATATTATCCCATATAGAATTTGGTTATAATAAATCAAACAGATTAAAGATCTAGATTTAGATGTAGAGACTAGCGTAAGTATTAGGTTTGGTGTAAGAGTTGCGAAAAGGCGGGATAGATATTAGGATAGGAGTACATGCGAAGTTAAGCTTTAGACAAATTGGCGAATGCGCTGGTACAGCACTGGACTCACTGTGATGAATTCGCAGAGTAAAGACTTGAACAGGGCTAGATCATTGCTGAGTTCCAACTAAGCGCAGTGGAGTTTAAAGCAGGGCTATCCCAAGCTTGGAGAATAGAAGCTACAAATGGGGTTGAATAGCTCTCAAGCTGTGCGTACGAGAGAGAAGGTTGCGACCTCGGTTCAGCCATAATAAGGGCCTACTACTACTACCCCAGTACTCCCGGCCAGTGTATGTTATGCATAGAAGGCGCCAACTTGAAGAATAGGCTACTCAAGACTGCCGTACTTCTGAAATATTTACTGCTCCAGTCTCCTGCGCAATGAAGATCAAGCATAACGAAGTACCACCGTTCTGTGCAAATCATGCAGAGTGCCTAGCTTGAAAAATTTATCTAATACCACCGTTCAACGTAGATTATGCATAGAGAGAGCCCAATTAAGCCCAATTGAAGAATTTATCCCACTTGTACGTGTACCCGTTCAATGTAGACTAGCATAGAGAGAGCCCAATTGAAGAATTACACCAGTTGTACCGTTCAATGTAGGGGGAGTACCGTAGCACTACGCCAGTACACCGATCTTTAAGTTCCGTTCAATGCAGATCAGCACAGAGGAGATGGGTTGCAGCACCACCTTACTGTCCTGGAGGACTCCTGCCGCTCTTTACACTGTAAGACTGCATGCGTCGCCTTATATCGCAACAAAACTACAGCACAGTGGGGTGCGACATTATGCCTAGAAAAGTAGTTTGTCTGACAATCAAGTGTTAGCAGAGCTGATGGAACATCAGAGGCGACACGGAACGGGACAGAACAGAAACATCAGGTACTGAAAGCGGATCTACGACGTGGAGAAAGTGTTTCATGTGAACTCATACTCTTTACCTAATAGGAGCAAGCGAGAGGTGTAGCACCCATGTCACCTCGGAAGCCTGCGTTAGGCGTATGTACAAGGGGTTATATTTTATTTCACTTCTTTTTTTTTTATTTTTCATCATTTCTTTTTTTCTGTTTTTAAGCTTCCCAGTATTTTTTATGTAGCACCGGAAACACTTGGCTCGGACCTCGCTAATTTTGATAGGGACCTGCGAAAATTTATTTACCAATTAGGCAATGGACGTACCGTAGGTTGATACAATTGAAACAATATCACAGGCATCAAACAATGCCAGTATAGGGTAAGATTAAGAATAGCTAAGCATAATGATGAGATTTAGATGGTGGCTTGCTATTCTTCGAGAAACGGCTCACTAATGGGTGCAAAATTTGTGATCACCCAACATGGCCCACCACCCGGACTCGGTGGGAAAACAAAGTCATCTCACAAATTAGGAATCTCATCCGCTGGGATTGCTTTTGTGGAGCGAATTACCCCAGAGTTGAAAAACTATAAAAGGGGGAAATGGAATATAGCGAAAATAATTGTAGTAGGGTGGTAAACTATTTCATTTGCATCTGATAAATCTGCTTAGTTTCTTCTTACGAATAACTTAGGTCCCAGCTGCATAAAAAATACTTGTATCTAGGAACAAGCTGAATTGATTTTCTAATTTTAAGGCACTTATTACTAGTTGTACCCCAACTTGGAAATTTTTCATTAGATATAGAAGAAGTGCTGTTTCATCTATACATTTACAGTTTTTTTTATTATTTTTTTTGCTTTTATTTTTATTTCTAGTTTTATAGATAATAATAATAGTCCATTTGAAGGTCTGCGCAACCTCTTAAACATACCTAGCCTACGAGTTTCCATTACAACGGAACCTGAAAAATAAAAAGAAACAAAAAAATAAAAAGCTAATAATCATATATCGTACCTGAAGAAAAGTACCCCATTGAACTATGTCCAACCCATCTTTAGTGTTAAACAAAATTGACGATATCTCGTTTGAAACCTACGAGCTGCCTGTCATCTCCGACCCACATGAAGTTATTGTCGAAGTCAAAAAGACCGGTATCTGTGGTTCAGACATTCATTACTATGCTCATGGTAAAATAGGTCCATTCGTCTTGACCAAACCAATGGTATTGGGCCATGAATCTTCTGGTGTGGTTTCAAAAGTCGGGGAAAAAGTCACCACTTTGAAAGTTGGTGACAATGTTGCAATTGAACCTGGTGTGCCATCCAGATTAAGCGATGAGTACAAAAGTGGTCATTATAATTTATGCCCACACATGTGCTTTGCAGCCACTCCAAATTCCACTGAAGGTGAACCTAACCCTCCTGGAACTTTATGTAGATACTACAAGTGCCCAGAAGACTTCTTGGTAAAGTTACCTGACCATGTTTCCCTAGAATTGGGTGCTTTAGTAGAACCATTGACAGTTGGAGTTCATGCTTCCAAATTAGCCAAAATTACATTGGGAGACAAAGTGGTCGTTTTCGGTGCTGGTCCTGTTGGTTTATTAGCTGCTGCCGCTGCAAAGTCATTCGGTGCTACTGCGATCATTATTGTTGATATTTTCGACGCAAAGTTGGAAATGGCAAAGAAGATCGGAGTTGCAACTCACAGTTTCAACTCCAAGACCGAAGGTAATTTTGAGAAATTATTGGCCAAGTTCGACAACGTAAAACCTACAGTTGTTTTGGAATGTACAGGAGCTGCACCATGTATCAATATGGGAGTTCAAGTATTGCTGGCCGGAGGTAGATTTGTTCAAATTGGTAATGCGCCAGGACCAGTCTCGTTTCCAATTACAGAGTTTGCTACAAAAGAATTAACTTTATATGGCTCATTTAGATACGGTTACGATGACTACAAATCGAGTGTTACTATTTTGGACAGAAATTATGCTAAGGGTAAGGAAAATGCACCAATTGACTTTGAACTGTTGATCACCCATAGATTTAAGTTCCAAGATGCTGTTAAGGCGTATGATTTAGTGAGAGGAGGCAATGGGTGTGTGAAGTGCATCATCGATGGACCTGAAAATTAGTTGAACTGAATTTCATGTATATTTCAGTTCCTGATTTAGAATATAGTTTAAATGAAACGAAAATTTTACGAAACAAACATTAAATTAATGTAGTCCGAAACTAGTTAGGTGAAATCTAAATTAAGAATATGATAGGTATTGTTCTAAGTTAGAATGTACAAGAAAAAAATAAAAGTAAAAACAAAAGGTTGACGGCTCTCAGCATCATAAATTGCTCTATTTAGATTGTTGAATCTATTCATGGAACATTGGGAGAGTTCAGATACGAGAGAACGCATGTATTCGAAAAGGTAAGGTCGACCGTAAACTCAAAAAAGGAAATAGATGACTACAAGAATTAATGCAAAGGCGGGATGAAAATTTGCAAGATAATCACCCTATAGACCCTGAAAAAGGGGATGCGTGAAAGAAGATAAAGGCATGTTTTGAAAATGATAATAAAAACATTAGAGTAACAGTACACACACAACAAACAATAGAGATTTTGTTTTTAGCCATCATCATCTTGAAGCTTCGGGATGATGAAAAACATCTTGACTTTGATACATAAATAACTTTCAGCCTTCTTCTATTGTTGCTAGATATTATTGTTTCATGCAACATATATCTCCGACCGAGACATTCACAACAATGTTCCTGAATAAATTCGCCTAAAATAACAATCGGTGGAAGGGGTAAATGGAATTAAGGCAAGTCACATTTAAGCGAATAAAGGTACAGGTACCGAAATTGAAAATAGCTTTTAATTAACTATTTCATGGGAATGTCAGCTCAAAAGGGGAAAGTCAGCATTACCATTTTGTAAATAAGAAAACAGATTAAAACCAGAAATGCCATCTTGGGATGATTAAATGCCGTGCATGATAGAGAAAAGAGTTACTTCGTTAAGGTCAAGTCCGTAAACAGGTTGTTTATTCTTAGGCCAAGGTCAAGTTTTTTTCTTAATTGGAAGTACGAGGCATGACAGCATAAAATTTTTTCTTCTTTTAGGTGTAACATGGAGTGAAGAGTCTCACTGGCTTTACAGTTTACGATTCTTCTCGGTAATAAATTGGCTTAACTTTGGCGAGGCTCTCGCTTAAAAAGAAAAGAAAATAAAAAAAAAAAAATAAAGGAGGCTAAAAGGCATAAATCAAAACATTGGGGAAACCATTCGCGTCTCTTGCTTAGTCTTCGCTTAACTATATAAACATTTACTTACGTATATGAATATAGATCATTTCCTTTAGTGGATACAATGGCCTGTCAAAAGATATTGACATAATGTATGCCCATGCTTATTTTTACCTTAATTCTTGAATCTTCAGATTCAATTCTGCCTACATTTGATAATTAAGAATTTAAAACAAAGTATTCATTTAATAATACGCGTTTCACATTTCGAATATGGATCTGCTTCATTCTTGAATATAATATCACTCAAAATGTTAAAGGTGCCATGAGGCAGGGTCGTGCTGTATAAGCTAGACACGAGAGCACCCCTTGTTTTAAGCATATGCCCTTGAAAAAATACGGGACGGCTCTATGCCTCGAAACGCATCGTCAGTGCCTTAAGGGGCAAAATTGTGCATGACTTTCCTATTGCATCTTTAGATAATAATAATTATGCCCAGATTAAACTTTTCTCTCAGCCTAATTTGTATGTTCTAGGAAATACCCTCACTATATTTGGAAAATTAAAATATCGTATCTATTGTTCCATGTGAAGATGCGACAAATTATAATAGAGATGGTTCTTCATTGCAGGAACTTTGCAGATTTGTCTTCGCTTAACATGTGTTGTAAAATATTCAATCAGGGCGTACCTGGCGCTAGGAAACTCTTTTGTATCCTTTTATTTAAATAAAAATTCACGAAATTTTACGATTGACGTACTCGTGTCAGCACTACTTGTACTGAGCGACGAAGAGCTGAGCAATGAAGATACATCTACAGACAAGAATTTCATTATCCACTTTTAACATAGCGAATTTAAAACAAGAGAACAATATACGTGAAAAAAAAAAAATAAAAAAAAGAAATAATTTTTCTCAATACGATAAAATTTAATTATAATTAAGCCGCATGCACGAAAGAGTTGCAAAATATTTTAAGCTACTGTAGCTTCTTGCCCCAATAAAAAGCTGAAATCACGAGAACTAAAGTTTTCATTTCAATATTTTATAGCATCTGAGTTGTAACTAATGTATCCCGAATAGGGCGTCGGTTTGTATACTGGCGAATGTTTACGTTCGTTATCTAACAGTGCATACGCTTGAAGAAGGCGTTGTTGCTGCATTATGCAAGGTTCGCTTTTATTTTCTTGAGTTAATGGCATATCACCTCGGAGGGTCTAGTAGTAGCCATTAATTTACTGACTGTTGAGTCTGTTTATAAGTATATGTGAATCTCACCTGTAATTTGACTCATTTATCTTTTTGGGTTTTTTTTTTGCTTTTTCTATTACAGCGTTATAAATCACTTTCACATCTATTTTATATTATAATAGTTAAAAAGGTAATCATGAGGTCAATCTTCACTCAGTTGTACCTCTTATTCCTTTTGGTTGCCAATGTTTTTGCAACTACTGGTATAAAGTGTAATCCTACAGCGCAATGTTCTGTCTCAAACACCCGTTGTGGACTTTTCAATTTCCCAAAAGCTAATTTCGAACTTCTGGAAGTAATTCAAATTAGTGGACCACTTCACAGTATTTCTTTTAGCTTTTCTTCCTCAGTTAGTTTATTAGCTACTTCTAACTTAGGTTCATTGACTTGTGGATTCGGATCTTCTGTTTTCACTCTTTTCTCGTCCAAAGTATCAGTTGTCAGCAACCCAGGCTCTTGGAACCAAAATCTTCAAGTTAACTGTATTGATAACGGTGACCACTATTGTTTACCAGACTTACTGATCAATTACAACTGGTGTTCTAGTATCAACCTTTTCAACTTTATTCCATGTACCTTCTGGGGTTTCACAAAGTCTTACTCATACAAGTCTGGATGTGGAAGTAGTTCCAGCTACGATTGGCCACAATACTGTTGGCCAAAACCTGTTACTACAACTTCAAAGACTACAGCCAAGACTTCTTCTACTGTGAAGACTTCCTCAACTAAGACTTCCTCAACTGTTAAGACTACTTCGAGTGTTCAAACTTCATCAGTACCAACTACTGGCCCATCTGTCACAACTTCATGTGTTGCTACAGTTAAGCCAACTGCTCAGTGTACTCCAAACACCAAGCGTTGTAAGACATACAACTACCCTCAAGCTGACTTTAGTCTTAACAGTGTTATCCAAATTAGTGGATCCACTCACAAGATTAGTTACGGTCTTACTGTCCAAGAATCTTTAAGTATCAACGCTTTAGGTACTTTAGGAACTTTCTTCGGAAGCTGGAGAAACCCACTTTTCGATTGTAACAAAAAGATTGAGACTGTCCTGGACCCAACTGACTGGAACCATGAAGTCGAGGTTGACTGTATTGACAAGGGTGACCTGTGGTGTTTACCAACCTTCCTGATTGGATACAACTGGTGTATTGCTGGTGTTTTCGACACCAGTCTTTGTTCCAGTTTCGGATTCAGCAAGTCTTACTCTTACAGCTGTGGTTGTGGTGATGATTATGATTTCCCACAATACTGTTGGCCAAAACCTGCCACTTGTACAACTGTGCAAAGTTCATCAAGTGCCAAGACTTCTTCAACTGTTTCAAGCTCTTCAACTATTGCAAGTTCTTCAACAGTTAAGACTTCATCTAGTGTTCAAAGTTCTTCAACAGTTAAGACTTCATCTAGTGTTCAAAGTTCTTCTACTGTTGCAAGTTCTTCAACTGTTAAGACTTCATCAAGTGTTCAAACTTCATCAGTACCTACTACTGGCCCATCTGTCTCAACTTCATGTGTTGCTACAGTTAAGCCAACTGCTCAGTGTACTCCAAACACCAAGCGTTGTAAGACATAC